GCAGGGGAAGGGGTGTTAATACGCTCTTCCCACCCTCTACCCTGGAACAACTGAGCAAAACCATAGGAACTACGAAGAAGAAATGAGAAAGACTGGGAAGCACCCTGATTCCAGCCTCCACGCCGTTGTTTACGCCGCCCCCACCAGGAGTGCCTGCCTCTCCTCTCCTCCTGTCCACACCCTTGGGCCGTCCCTGGCTCTGGCTTAAATCTGTTGTCAGACAGGAACAAGCAAACCTAGAGAGCTTGTTCTGTGGCCCCTTCCTCTGGCTTACTGTGGCCACCTTTCCGCTGCACGCACACATCCCCCCGTCACCTGGACAGGGGGCCAGGCTCTGAAGGGAGGGAGAACGGGTGGCACAGGAAATAGAGCTCTCCGATGGGCAGGATCAGGGAACACCACTGCCGGGTCTCGGGCCTGACACCCCTGAGTGCACGAAGCCAGAACAAGCAGAAAGCTCCTGCAGGCCCTCTCTGCAATACCCAGCACAAATGCCCCCTGCACTCGCCTTTCTTCCTGGGCCTGTCGCCCAAACCTTTCTCTCTCTGCCCCAATCCTGACAGCACAGGGCTGGCTGGCGGGTGTCTGGTCCTGTCTTCTCAAGTCTGGGAGCACCTTAGGGGGCAGGCCCTGGCCTGCGTCCTCAGGGTTGCACAGAGAATCAGGACATGTCCCTGGGGGCAACTTCCCTCTTAGACGTGATGCCCTCCCCCTTCACCAGAGAATCAGCTTGAGACCAGCTCCGCACACAGAGGTGGAAGTTCATCCTCGAGTCTCACCAGTTTCCCATTAGCTGCTATCGAAACCTTACTGGAAACCTTGACTTCCTGCAAGGCTGCTGTCTGACAGATCCTAAAGCTACTTCCCCCTGTCCTGGAGGCCAGAAGGAGACAGGCAAATATAGGCAAATTTTGGGGTGGCCAGTGGGGGGCTGGGCACAGGCGAGGGAGGGTGCTTCCAGGGATCCTCCTCTTTTGGGCGGCTCTGACGGGGCTAAGGAGGTTGGGCCACTACCTGGCCTACCCATGCCCCTATCTCCAGGAAGCACCCCCCAGAGACCCCACTCCCTGAGCTTCCCCTCCCCCATTTGCACGTGGCACCTCCAACCAGAAAGGAGACAATGCCCCAGCAGCGCCCTCATTCCTAGAGACACCCCCCTCTCAGCCCATGACCAGGCTTCCATCCCAGAGTGGAGCCTGAGGCCTGATGGCAGAGGTTCCCCCAGACCCCAGGGCAAGCAAGACATACCCAGCCCCCACAGAAGCATACACCACTTCCACCCAGCACCCAGGAGGCCACAGAGAACCAGAGAAGGTGCTAGAGAGAAAGGATCCAGTCATGTTACCTCCCCCACCCCAACTATATTCAAATAAGGATTTGAATATATTTCCTGGGCCTGGTGTCACAGTCAAATCTGCCTCTCCTTGGACTCCTTGCAGAAGTCCCTGCAGGGGAAGAGCAGCATTTCTGGGTTCCAAAAGCACAAGACCCAGGCTCAGGGGCTGGGGGTCCTGCCCCAGCATCATCCCTGGAACAGATGATCTAGGAAGACCAGAGTCTGGGCCACAGGCCCCTTCCAGGGCTACCCTGCCCCAGACCCAGGCAGGAAGCCAAGGGGAAGAAGATGTGAGGGGAAGGAAGGGGCCCAGGGCCCAGGAGGACACATGTCGGGGGAAGAAGTTGGTGGAGGCCCCTCCCCCATAGCCAGAATCTGGGAGTGGGGGTCGAAGGAGTTAAAAACCTCAGGCATCCCAGGGGTCCCTGGGCACTCCCTCAAGATATCCTCAGGGTCCCATCTGGGAGCTTGAACCCCAGCAGTGTCAGCCTGGGGCTTGAAGCATTAACCCCATGTTTGCCAGTTCTCAGCTTAGAAGTGGGCAGACTCAGTCTATTAACACATTCAGGGTGCCAGTTAGGGAGCCACCCCAGAACCACCCCAGCTACCACTCCCACATCCCCACATGTCCCAAGTCAGCCCTGGACTAGGGAACACACTCCTCTGTAAGCTGCCAGCCAGAGGCCATGGTGCCCACTTCCCAACATCCACACACCAGCCCGCAGCAGCTCACCTGAGACATCTGGGGGCGCAGGTTGACCTCACGCAGGTTGATGGCATGGGGTAGCAGGTTGTTGAGCAGCTGACACAGGAGGACGCCATCCCGAAGGGCCTGTGCCAGCTCACACACCTGTGCCCCATCCCAGGTCACCCGGTGGCTGGGCGGCAGCACCCGGCACTGGATCAGCCAGTGAGTACACTGGCGCCACAGTTCCATGGCTACTGCCTCCCAGCCAGCCCGTGCACCCCGGCGCCTCCACCAATGGCTGTCTGCGGGGTTAGCTAGCTACCACTTCCTCTTCTTTGCCTGTAACTGTTGCCCTGAGAGGGGGTGGAGGAGGAGGAGCTCTGGAGTGAGGGGGAGGAAGAAGGAGGGGTGAGCACCTACAGCCCAGCCCCATCCATGCAGGACCCGGCCTCACCAGTGGCTGCGGGTGGAGTCAGGCTAAGTGCACTGAGGCCTCCTGCCTCCTCCAGGTCCCGCCCCTGACAGCGCCCGCTCTGCAATACCCAGCACAAATGCCCCCTGGACTCGCCTTTCTTCCTGGGCCTGTCGCCCAAACCTTTCTCTCTCTGCCCCAATCCCGACAGCACAGGGCTGGCTGGAGGGTGTCTGGTCCTGTCTTCTCAAGTCTGGGAGCACCTTAGGGGGCAGGCCCTGGCCTGCGTCCTCAGGGTTGCACAGAGAATCCAAGTCCCGCCCCTGACAGTGCCGTCTCTGAAACATATGTGGACACCTCCACCTGCCTCCACCTGCCTCCACCTTAGCCTAGCCCAGCCCCCATCTTCACCAGCCTGCACCAGGACAATGTCCTCCACCTTGCCCACCCCCCACCCCGCCAGCTTCCACCCTCACCCCCTCCAGTCTGTCCTCCCCAAAGCAGCTGGAGCACCCAAATCAAGATGTGATGCTCCTCCTCTCCTCACAGCCATCCCCCTGGGGTAAAAGCCCTCCCTTCAACCACAGGCCATATAGGCCCTGCCCCTGTCCACCGCACTGCCTTTGCCCACTCCACCTTCCCCTCACCCTCTGCCCCCCGCCCCCCCCACACACACACCTGCCCTTCTTGGTGTTCCTCCAACACACCAGCGTGGTGCCGCACAGGGGCCAGCAAGGGCAGCACTTTGCTCTCCCAGTGCCCTCTGCCTTGGGCAACATCACCTCCAGCTCACTCACCTTCTCAGAAAGCCTTCTCAAAGCCCCCCGCTGCAGATCACAGCCATTTTCCCCACTGCACAACATCCTTTCCTATTCCCGACGTTAAGTCCTAATCACTACCCAACAAACCTGATATTTCCTTATATCCTTGTCTCTTCGGAAATTTCTCTCTTATGTTCACTGCACCCCTGGACACCTCTCACCCCTGCACTTCGCATGCTCCATAATATTTGTTGAATGAGTGTAGAAATGAAAATTCTATTGGCTCTCTCTCTGACATCTACCCTAAATCCATCCTTTTATGACCCCCCCATGCCCACCACTCTCTCCTTATAGACTCAGCGTGGTTTGTTAATTCATTCGTCAAACAAACATTTGCTGTCCTCGTCGCCCTTATCACTACCTCAAACCACCTCGTCTGTGAGGTCTGTCTCCCCTCCTCTACCCCACCAAGCCGTGAGCAGTCTCCCCTGCCCCTGCACCCCACAAGGAGGTGTGGCCGCTAGGGAGCGCTAGACCCCTGCACTGAGCACACCCTGACGCCCTGCGCCAACCCTAGGCGGGAAGGGGTCGAGGTAAGCTGCCCCTCCTGAGCCTGGCGTCTTCCACACCGCGGGGAAAGCCCAATCTGGAAATTCCCAGCTTTAAAATCCTACTGGCACCAAAACATTTCACCCTCCACCATTCTTGGTCCTCTGTGAGTCAATTTCTCCGTCTGTCGGCGGGGGCAGTGGTGGCAGGGGCAGGGAGCAGGAAGGTAAGGCTGGACCCTCCAGCCTGCCCACTCAGAAGCCGGCCACCTGGGCCAAGTGGCTTAGCCGTCCAGGGCCTGTTGCTGCCTCTGGAAAACGGGCGCTGTGGCCGTCGGGCGGCCCACCTGTGTGAAAACGAAAGTCGTTGAGGCAGATGGAGCGAGTAGAAGGGCACGCAGCAGGCACCCGACACAAGAGTGCTTGCACACTGCTGTTTTTATTGAGCCCCCAGCACGCGGGGCCTGGCGCCCTCCTGCTGCTCCACACACCCCCCCTTTCACGCGCCGATCTCCGGGAGTGGGGCTCGAACCCGCGACTCCGTCCTCCCGCCTGGGAAACCACCGAGGGCCGCCCCTCCCCCCCGCCCGAGGTCTCGCTCAGGTCCACCGGCCGGCGCTGGGGAAGGCCGCCGCGTTTCCCCGTATCTCTCCGCAAAACCTAAATAGGGTTTCTTTCCGGAAAACCCAGGGGGGCGGTCTGGAGGAAGCGCACCCCGCCGCGTCACAGCACAGGCGCAGCGATCCCCGGCGGGCCAGGAGGCCGGGGGTGTCGCCCCGCCCCGGAACCCCGGGAGCGGAAGAGCGAGACGACGCCCCACCCCGGCCCCGAGGGCGCCTCGGGCGGATCCGAGGGGAGCGAAGAGGCCGCGCTCGGAGGGACCCGCTGTCGGGTGGGAATTCGGGGTGTATTCCCTGGGGGCGGGGCGAGGAGTGGGCGTGGCCAGTCGGAAAGGTGGGGGCGACACCCAATGGGGTAGGTGGATTCCTCAGGGGGCGTGGTCTGAGGCAAAGTGGGTGTGGCCAGAGCAATGACAGACTCTAATAGGCGGGGCGGAGCCGAGGGGGCGGGGCGAGAGCCTGGACGCCGCGGATGCCGAGGGGGCGGGACCGTCGGGGGCGGACCAGGTGGTTGGACCTGGTTCCCACCTGGCGCGCGCGACCCGGGAGCCTGCGCCTGCCTGCGGCGCGAAGGGAGGGACCCGGAGCCGTGCAGCGTCAGGCTGCGGCGCGCACCTAGTCTCGTGGTGGCTCCACGGGTCCAGGACGAGGTGAGTGAGGAGCCCGGGAGACCCCTGGACCGCCATCGGCTTATTGAGGTGGGAAATCCTCTCCTTTCCAGGTGGGTTCACGGACTTGCAAGGGGAACCTGGAGCGGGACGTCCCGCTCCGCGAGCGTCTGCGGACGTAGAAGGGGTCGCCGAGGGCCTGATGGGGTCGCGGAGCGTCCGTGCACCTGCACTTGGTCCCCTCAGCGTGTTTCCTGGGCAACGCGGAGCGCGTCCCTTATTTCCACGTTTGCTGTACCCCCACCTGGACAGCCCTTTCTCCAAGTCTTTGCATAACTCTCTCTCCTTCCCCTATCTCGGCTCCTGTGCCACTTCGTGGGAGAGACCTTCCCCACTACTTACTTGAAGTACCTGCCCCCTCCGGCTTTATCACATCTCCCAGCTTTATCACCTTCGTTGATTACTCTTAAAAATTGTCTTGTTTATCCATTGTGTGTTTGGAGGGTTTTTTTGTGTGTGTGGGTCTTACCCTCCAGATGGAGCTGGGCTGAGTCTTGGTCTTTTTCTTGACTGTATCTTGACTGTATCCCCAGTACAGAACAGCACACACTAATGCTCGATCAATCAATATTTGCTCAATGTCAAGTCTGAGTCCCCGTGTTCATATGTGTCCATGGGTCGTATGTGCAAGGGGCTGGCCCCCTGCATGTCTGCACATGTACATGGTCTGTAGGGCATGTGCTTGCCCCTTCCCAACATCCCTCCTGATTCTGCCCACTGCCTGTCTCCCCTGCCCAAAGACACAGAAATTGTTCCAGAGGACAGGGCAGAGACATGCCCGTGGCTGACCTGTGCCCACACTGAGCTCCACCCGCCCTCCCAAACTAGCCAGAGCCTTGTCCCGTGACCCACCTTCACACCACTAAGGGGGACACAAGATAGAGGAAACTGGGGTTGGGGGCTCTTGAGGCCCGAGCTGAGGCTGTCCTACCTGACAAAAGAAAGTGCACAGGCATCTGGGAGGCACACCTGGCATTCAGGTATGCAGTGCCTGGAGCCAGCAACCACCCAGCACCCCACCCTTTAGCCACCTAAGGTTTATCTGGAACTTTCTGGTCCTTTTAGGCCCTCAGCCAGGCTGACTCAGGAGGCAGGAATCCTGCAGACTCCACCAGGCCCAGAAGACCTTGGGGTGAGTGTGGTGTGGCAGACTGCCCCCCCATCCTCCCATTCAGGGTGATCTTTCCCACAGGGCACACAGAACCTGAAGCTTGTGAGATGATTGAAGGAATCCCAAAGGTTCTAGGGCCTAAATTTGACCATCATCATAATAACGAATTACAACCATTTGGAAATATGCAATTGCCGTTGGCTAGCATTTCTACAATCTGGGACCACTTAGTGCCCTTAATTTGGGAAGCAAAGTATAGGTTAGCTTTTCTTCCATCTAAGAATCCTTGAGTGTGCAAATATTAATAAATCGCTACATTGTGGATGTTAGTAAATTCAATTCCCCCTGTCTGGTATGTACTTTTACCCAGAGCCACCTGGCTCACTCCCTCAAAATCCTTCCAGTTGTTACTAAAAGAGAGCTTCCCAAGCCACCCTATGGGAAACATTTACTTGCATCTTGTACCACTTCCTAAATTCTTCACTTAGCTCTCTCTGATCTGTTTCCTCACCTCCTTATTTATTAGCTTAGCCACTGTCTCCCTCACTAGAATGACAGCCCACTAGAGTTGATTCAAACTTAGTTGATGAATCTTTACTGTCTACCCTAGGGGAGGGCAGGGACCCCAGTCTGTTTTGCTTGCTGCCATGTCTCTAGTGCCCAGAACAGCATCGGGGCCCACAGAAGGTACCCCATGAATATTGGTTTGATTAAATTGGTTAATTACATTTCTGCAAAATGTAGTATTATTCACCTGCATATCAGTGGCATTACTTTTGAAAGCCATGCATAGGTTAATACATCCAAGAATCCTAGGGAATGCATGATTGTTTTCATGTAATCACAGCCAATTCTAAAGAGACCCATAATCTGATTTTTATATATATATGAGAAATGTCATATAAGTTACATCTATATAATCTGTATATGAGTAATTTAGATTTCATATATATATATGTGCATATATACATATACATGGCATGGAGAGACAGCAGGCTCAAAATGGAGTCACTCGCACCCACATGAGTAAGTCAAGATTTAATATCTAAATTAATTCCAATCTCGGTCTTTCCCTAATGTAACATTTAACCAGAATTGCCTGGTCAGCATGATTGGGGTGATCTGTCCAACAGACCCCTCCTTCCACATAGAAAGGCAACCGAAGGTTACAGAGCCTAAACAAGTCCTTTTCGTATCTCACTACCTTTCTGTCTATAAGAACCTTCCATTTTGTACAACTCTTTGGAGCTCTTTCTATTAGTGGGCTACTGCCAGATTCATTAATCATTCAGTAAAGTTAATTAGATCTTTACATTTATATGGTCAAATTTTTGTTATTTAACAAATAACAGATAAGTAGACAAATAGGTACAGATAGATGGATAGACAGAAAGATGATAGATACGCATTTTAAATTTTGATAAGATATGAGCAGCTGTCTCCAAAACTGAGGGGATCATGGAAGGACCAACCTAGTCATTGAGGAAGCTTAGAAAGCAAGAAATAGTCTTCTGTTTTGCAGATGCGGAAGACTGAGGCCTATGGAAAAACAGAGCTCATCCCCAGCACCCTCTGCCCCCAAGCGCTCCATGCAGCTGCCACAGAATGAAGAGGACTTTGCCAGTCAGTCCTGGTACCACGGCCCCCTGTCTCGCCAGGTAGCACCTCTGAGGCCCTTGGCATTATCTTATGGGGCCTCCCGGGTCCTGGATGAGGGACAAAGGGTCAAGGGAGGCGGGGGACTGGGAACTGTTTTGAAGCTTGGTTGACGTGATAGCATGTCAGTCCTTCTGTTTAAATTATCACTGTCTTTGGGATGGTGTTGAGGATGAAGACTGAAAAGGGTCCTAACAGCCCCAGACCACCCTTTGGCTCTGTCTCTCCCTCTGGAGGCCATTAGGGTCATCTCCCTTCTAGCATCTTCCTCTCAATCCCAGTGCCCCACCCTCATCTCCAATTTAAGAGTCACCCTCAAGAGTCCTAGGACCCTGGGCTTCCAATCAAATCATGAAGGGCAATGTAGCTTAGTGATTAAAGTCCTGCACCCTGGAGTCAGGTATCTTGGGTTCAAATGCCAGCTTGACAGTTTATGTTCAGTGGGGCCTTGCGCAACGTGTTTGGCCTCTCTGGGCCTCAGTTTTCCCATCTGTAAAATGGGGATAATGGTACCTACTGCTTAATTTTAGTAAAGAATTAAAAGAATTCATGTTTACACCTAAAGTGTCTGGCACATTGTATGAGCTATCCATGTGTTCACTGCATGTATGACTCAGTACCCAGACCTGCTGCCAGCTCTGCTTTGCCTCTCTGTGTCATAACCCTCAGTCCATTTTAACATGAGCATTGGTGGCTGGCATAAGACTGCGTGAAGATTTTTATAAAGGATTTATGGGGCACAGTCTATCTGCAAGGATCCAGCTAATGACTTCTCTTGAAGCCACATATGTATAACAAAGCATTTATTCAGACTGGAAGTTGCATTAGTCAGCATCAGCTAGAGGCTGTAATAAACATTCCCAAGATGGTACTGTTAACACAGTAAACAGTTATGTGCTTATTCAGGTCATGCTCCAAGGTGGTTGGGAAGGGGGTAGGTGCTTCTCCAGAAATCAACAGGATCCGAGTCCTTTCCATCACGTGGCTCTGCCATCCCCCAGGGCTTTGGGGAGACTTAGTTGACAGATAGGGAACAGAACTTGTAGAATTGTGCAGGAGGTTTTTATGGGCCAGGTCTGGAGGCTTCTCACAGTGCTTCTGCCCTCATCCCATTGGTCAGGTCTTGTCATACAATGACTAACTGCAGGGGAGTCTGGGAAATGTAGTCGAGGCATTACCCATGAGAAAAGGTAGTTGGATGCAAAACTACCCAGTCACTTGGGTGGTTTTTCTTGGAGGGCGCATCTCACCATTAACTACTGATCTGGGCTCACACCTAAACCTCCTGCCCCCCTGGTCTTCACCCCCTTCTTCCTCCAGAAGGCTGAGGTCCTTCTTCAGCAAGATGGAGACTTCTTGGTCCGTGCCTCTGGGTCCCGTGGGGGCCATCCTGTGATCTCCTGTCGCTGGCGGGGCTCAGTCCTACACTTCGAAGTGCTCCGTGTGGCCCTACGTCCCCGACCAGGCTGGCCCACAACGCTCTTTCAGCTGGAGGATGAGCGTTTCCCAAGCCTGCCTGCCCTGATTCGCAGCTATGTCACTGGCCAGCGACCACTATCCCAGGCCACAGGGGCGGTGGCCTCCAGACCAGTGATTCGGGAAGGGTCAATGCGACGCAGCTTTAGCGAAGATTCCCTCCAAGAGAGCCCAGCTCAGATAGAGCCTCTCAGGTACACACAGGCGCTCTACCTCCCAAACAAAGCCCAGTCCCGCCAGCGCTTCTCGCCCTCAGCCCTATCCACAGCTGGGGTCACGTCATCATGGTGGTGGTGGAGGGCTGCCCAAGAACAGTAGAATGTTGAGCATTCACAGCCTCTACCTCCTAGAAGCCAGTATAGTCCTCCCAGCCCCACCCACCAGTGTGACAATCAAAAAATGTCTCCTGACTTGTTAAGTGTCTGCAGGGGGACAAGGCCCCCTGGCTGGAATCTACTGGTCCCAAATGACTGGATATAAGGATTTCTGAGCATCAGTGGGGGTGCTCTGCTCGGGCCAGGGCTATACATCTCCCCCATCTCTGTCCCACAGAGCTAGGAAACGGAGTGAGAGCCAGCCGGCAGGCTTGGAGCATCTAGGGCAGTCACAAGAGGACCCCTTTGTCCCAGGTAAGGCTCATCCAGGACAGCATGTGGCTCAAAGACTGGGTCTGTCACACTGCCTGAATGACCTTGGACAGGTGATTTCACCTCTTGGAAATGGGGACAATATGCTTTCAAAGTTGTCATACGGATTTAAAAACATACAGGAACTTTGTAAGTACTTAAAAATGTGAGTTTACAATTATTCCAAGAATAATTGTTCTTGGAATATGTGGCCTGACCATGGTTGACCTCTATAAAAACTTGCTACATCCCCTCAAGCACTCCAGTCACACAGTCTTCCTTTCAGTTGCCGGAACCTTCCAAATTTATTCCCACCTCAGGGGTTTTGCACTTAGTGCTTTTGCCATTGGAAAGTCCATTCCCTTAACCTTTCCGTGAGTGGTTCCATCTCTTCTAACATGGGTTCCTCAAAACAGTTGACCCTGACCATTCTACCTAAAGAAAGCGTACCCCTCTATCCTATCTACCCTATCTGCCCTTCCCTGCACCTCCAATTCAACATGAACCCTCAATGCATGCCAGGCACTGTATTAAGTGATGAACTAGATCAATGAATGAGAAAGGCAAAGATCGCTACGAGAGTGGAGTTAACCCCCTATTAGAGGAAGGTGGATCATAAACAAAAACGAGTCAAGTCATCTATGCTTTGAGGTAAAAATTAAAGTATAACAGAGTAAGGGAGGTTGGAAGTATGGAAACAGGAGTAAGTGTTGCAATTTGAAGTAGTAATTAGAAAAGGGCCTTGTGGAGAAAGATCTGAAGGTGAGGGAGGAAACGAGGTGGGAAAATGAGTGTGAGAAAGGTCTAGGCAGAAGGAGCAGCCAGTGCAAAGGTCCTGGGGCCAGAATAAGAGTTTTACTTATTCATTCAACCAAAAGGAGGTGAGTGCTGCTAAAGCAATGGAAGTGAATGGGAAGTCAGAAAGATCTGGGACTCAGAGTATGAGGGCTTTTTTGAATACTGTATGGATATTTTAAGATTTATTTATGCATACAAGAGCTGGGGTACAGGCCAGAGGTGCGGGGGTAAGAGGATTCACCAGAGACAGAGTGGGGAACAGAACAGGAAGACTGACCGAAGTCCGCTAAGGGGAGCAGTGGGCGAGTCAGGAGAGGTCTGCTGCGCCATGTGGGTTGCTCCCTGGCGGCCAGGGATCGAACTCGCGCTGCAGAGACTGTGGATTACTTCATAGTGTGGTGCTTAACCCCTTGTGCCACCAGGGAGGCCCCTATTGTGTGGATATTGGCCCTTACTCAGAAAGATCTGAGAACCATGGGAAGGTTTTAAGCTACAACAATACTGTCTATTTAATGCTTGGTAAATAGTCTCCCAAAAGTCTGGGTGCAGTTTCAATGGTAATAACCTCAGAAGTAAATGCATCACAAACTTAATAAAAGACACCATTTGAAAGTTTGATAATTCAGTTTCTTTGATGCTTATGTAAGTTTTGTTAATTTTGAATAATGTATTTTCATTTTCATTGTTTCATCAATGCTTATCTTCAGAGGGGCAAAAACAAAGAATTTACATTTTAAATATAGTATTCAGAATTCACAAAAGTGCATGTCAAGAAAGTTTGTTTCTAGACCATTTTTGTAAAGTGTGCAGCATTTATATTAATAAAGTTGTTAAAATTCAAAGCTGCACCAGGATAGATTGGGATACCTGATTATTGGCCAAAAAAGCCGAAGAACCAAGATGGTAGTAGCACTTGACCCCCCCAGCCCACCCCACCCAGCTATCTTTATGAACCCCCTCTTGTATGATCCCTAGGAGCCTCCACCATGCTCACATCTGTCCTGCCACGGATGGGTAGTGACCCCATGTTGCTGAAGGCCCCAGCTCCTGTGGGGACCACTGCCTACAGCCTCAGGGCCTCTGATGGGCAGCTCCATGCCAAGGCACCAACCAAGCCTCCTCGAACTCCATCACTGGTACTGCCTGACCCCCCAATGTATTGTGAGCTGGTGCCTCGAGTGCCCAGTGCCCGGAGAACATCCTCTGGCCACAGCTGCCCAGAGCCAGAGGCCCCATGGTGGAAGACCCATAAGAAGGAGGAAGACAGATATTTCCTAAGACCGCAAGCTGAGGTCTCCCTCTGTGCCCCTGACAACCTCTTCTGCCTGCTGGGAACCCAGAATCGGCCCCTGGAACCCAAAATCCTAGATACCCTCCGGGGCCTGTTCCTGAAGCATCATCCTGAGAGCACCGCCCTCCACTTGCTATTGGTAGATTGCCAGGTGGGTTACCTGCCAGGTCTCATCCCTAGGCAGAGCGGAAGCCAGAGCAAGACCCAAACACAGTTAGTTACAATCTAATTGCTTTCCTGATTCTCCCCTCAACCGCCAGGCAACTGGTCTCCTGGGAATGACCAAGTCTCATCATCTTGACCCAATGGGGGTCACCTCTGGCCTAGAGCTGCTCCTGCTTCCTGGTGGGCACTGCTTGAGACTGGAACTCCTAGAGAGGTGAGCTAGTCTCTTGGGATTTCCAGTTTCTCCAAATCTTCCCACATTCAACACCTCTCGCCCCAAGGAGGAAGTGGGATGGGCAGTGCCACCTCACATCCTCCCTCACCCCTGCTTTCCAAACCTCCCCACTGCCCGCAGACCCTTGCCCTTCACCTCACAGGCAGGAGGCGCTTTCTCTGGCCGGCGCGCTGGCGGTGCTAGGCTGCACGGGATCGCTGGAGGAGCGCACAGCTGTCCTGAGGGGCCTGGTGGAGCTGGCACTGGCACTGCGACCAGGGGCGGCAGGGGACCTGCCTGGACTGGCCGCGGTCATGGGTGCCCTACTTATGCCCCAGGTGCGGGGGACGCAGAGGTGGTGAGCGCAGATGACGAGGAAGAGGGGGAAAGAGGCATGTACGTTCAAGTCTCTTCCCCAGGTGTCCCGCTTGGAACGCACATGGCGCCAGCTGCGCAGAATTCACACCGAGGCGGCGCTGGCCTTCGAGCAGGAGTTGAAACCGCTGATGCGGGCATTGGATGAGGGCACGGGTGAGTAGAGCCCACCCAGCTCTCAGCATCATCCTTAACCAGTCCTAGGCCCCTCCCTCTGCAGCACTCCGAACCTGGAATTCCTCACCCCCCCCCTTAATCTTAAATTCAGTCCGTGCCCTAGGCGTGGCCCTGGACGCAGGTCTAGGTCAGTGCTAGGCTCTGGCCTCCGTGTCGGGCTCCAAGCCCTGCCCCTTTAGCCTTAGATTCTACCTGGGCGCTAAATTCCCTTCACCATAGGCTCGGCCCTCGTTGCCCTAGACCCCATCTATGTACGAGGCTTGGTCCTGAACCCCAGCCCCGCCCCCACTGTCCTAGGCACTGCCCTGACCTGTCCAGCCTTAGACCACGCTCCTGACCTGTCCAGCTGTTTGAGGTTTGAGGTTCCCCCTTCTTAGCCTGCTCTGAACGCTGCCCGTTGCTTCTGTCCTTGGGTGCCTTCACCCAATGTGCACCCTCTTCAACCTAGGCCCTGCCCTCTGCCCAGATTCCTTCCTCCACAGGCCCCTGCGACCCTGGCCAAGTGGCGCTGCCACACATGGCCCCCGTGGTGCGCCTGCTGGAGGGCGAGGACCTCCCCGGGCCGCTGGAGGAAAGCTGTGAGCGGCTGCTGCGCACTCTGCAGGGGGCACGTCAGGTGGCCTCCGACACACCCAAGTTCCAAGAGGTGGCGGCAGGGCGCCTGCAAGGTGAGCGCCCCTTGTGCTTCTGGCTGCCATAGGGTCCCGACTCCAGGAGCACCCCTCATGTGCTAACCTGTGACCCCAAACCAACCCAGCGAGACCCCACTCCGGCCACACCTCCCAGAGTCCCACCCTAAAGGGGACGGCCCCACCCCCAGCAGGCTCTCACAGGAAGCACTTGATGCAGCTGCAGTGTTGACAGGAACAATGCCCTCCTCCCCAAATGGGGGGAACCCAGAGCCGGTCCATGGGGTCTCCGTCCCACCTTTACACCTGGGCCAGCCTCCCCTCTCCTTGAGGATCTTAATCCCATTTGAACCCCCAGCACCCTCCAAAATGACTGTCCTCCAAAATGACAGCTTCCCCACCCCACCCCACCCCCACTGTGCTAAGAGCCATACTTCCCTCCTGTCCTGGGGCAGCCCAGATTCCAGAATCTTCTACCCGGGTCATTCTTGCCTTCCCTGGCAAAACTGTGGTATCGCCTAACCACGTCTCCCCAGATTTGTCACAGAGGGCATTAGAAACCCCAAATTCAGCCAGGACAGGTCCTCCTGGCACAGCCTCTAAGGTGGGGCCCAGAGCATCTTGCAAGAAACACTGCTCCAGTGCCACCTGGCAGAACCCCCTAGCTCAGAGCCCCACAGACACCCCCACCCTGCAGAGACCAAGAATCCTCTCCCTGCTAACCACACCCAGTTAGTTGTCCAGAGTACCTGGGGCAGAGTCCCTCCCGGCCCCTGCTGGGTCAAAGTCCCCAGGAGTGAAGGCAGGTGGCAAAGGCCCCACCTCCAGCCCACCTGGCCCCACCCCAGGATTCCAGCCCAACCCGCTGCTGAGGGAGGCCCTGACCACTGGCTTCCTGCGGAGACTGCTCTGGGGAAGCAGAGGGGCAGCCGCACCTCTGGCCTTGCGACTTGAGAAGTTCCAGCATGTCCTCAGCATCCTGTCACAGCGTCTGGAGCCTGACAGCTGAAAGCACACTCAGACACCCGGATGCCAGAGAACTCCAAAACTCAAGGAAGTAGTCCCAGGTTCGTCACAAACCAAAAGCAGGGGGGTTGTACACCCTGCCTCACAAAAGGGCGATGGACCAAATTATTAAGGACCTACCCTGCTCTCTAAAAACTCACAGGATCCCAGGGAAGCTTTTTCTCTCACACTAAACCACCCAGGTATTTGGAGGCTTCGGTGCCCTCTTCTACTTCCCCATTCCCCCAAACACATCCCACTAATTGTGAACATGTGGCTTGTAATGGTAAGATAACTTGCAGATCTGTAAGAGGCCAGAGTTCAAATGCCTTTTAAAAGCTGTGTGACCTCCTACAGGTCGCTTGAGCTCTCTGTGCCTGCCTTCAACATTTAAGACTACTTTTTAGGGGTTGCCCCAAGGATTAAAGCTCAAGTTTAAATGAGCACATGGTAGAGAATGACTGGTATACAGTAGGTGCTCAATAAACACTACCTGTTTCAGTAAGCTGCAATGGATATGGAAAGATAATTGGTACCCTTCTAACAATACTGGAGCCAGACAAGAACCCAACTTCCCAAAAGGGGCAGGCATGTGGCCAAGGGGTACCCCAGTCTATCTCCCCTTCTCATTCTTGGTGTGGCCCCTAAGGAGGGTGGCATTTGAATATCCAGTCCAGTATCTAAATCTAATAAGACATGGACTCTCCAAGGACTTTACATATATATATATATTTTTTTTATATATAAAACAAAATAACCCTCGCCGAGTGGCAGGAAGAAAAATTATTTGAAACAAGAGTATGTACATCAGTGGTAGAAGGCACAGCGGGTCCATCTGGGGTGAGGGGTCAGGGGGCAGCAGGCTACACAGGTCTCAGCCAAAGCCACGGAGGCAGAAATAAAGTGCATAGGTCCTGGGGGGCCCCCGTGGCCCAAAAGCAGCAGTCGACAGCCCCCCTCTTCCCGCCTCTGGCAGGGTTCAGTTGAGCGTGACTCGGAGATAGGAAGTGGGCACATAGCCCTCGCCTCCCTGTTTCCGCCTGACGCGGGTCCAGCCGTCACCCTTGTCCTCTTCCATAAGACTGAGGTCTTCGCCCTCGGACATGGAGATGGTGCCCTCACTGGACCCTATCATGGGGGTGGGGTAGGCTGAGGTCTGCTTCGATGGAATTTAAAGAGAACCCAGCTGAGGACACCCACCCCTCTCCAAGCCGCCAATGTGGTACCCAAGCTGGACTTACCTTCAAAGTGGTAGATGGCCACACAGTGACCTATGGGGGATGTGGGTTCCTCCTCAAAATCTTCATCAAACTCCGTGTAAATGGGGGCATCCTGGCCCTCCTCTGAGGGGGGTTCTTCAGAGCTAGTCGGGAAGAGTAAAACCAGTGAGAGCAGGTCCCCAGGGGCCAGACCCAAGCTCACCTCCCTACTCACCTGTCCTTGTTGTCCTGTGACCCACTGTTGCTGCTGCTGCTACTGTCCGGTGGGGCACTGGCTGGCGGGTCCGGGGGCCGGGTGTGCCGGCCCAGGCTATCACCCCGGTTGCTCAGGACCCGGCTCTCAGCTTCTGCCAGCCAAGTCTAAAAGAAGGAGAGCACGTGATCAATTCAGGGCAGAGTTCTGGGGTCAGCCCATTGAGCCGAGAGGTTTCCTGAGATGACCCATGCACACCCAAGGCTATGATGAGAAACAGCTGGAGCACCTCCCCCCACACACACACCTCCCTGTCCCCCACCCCCACCCCACCAGGCAGTGACTCAGCCTGACCCGCTGGTCCCCGCCCCTCCCCAGGGTCCTCCCTGACCTCATACTTCTGCACTTCCAATTTCAGCCGTTCAATGTTGCTCAGGGTCTCTGTGATTTTGGGTTCCAAGCTGGCAGGGTCCCCCATCTGGGGTGTCTTCTCATACACATCCTTCATTTTCTTCAGGGCTTCCCTTGGATGAGACAGACCAATGAGTCCCATGTGATTTAACAAGCAAAAAAATACAGGCTTGGCTTCAAGGAGCAAAAACATTGTAAGACAGTGGTTAAGAGCTCAAATGTGTTTTACTGCCTGGGTTCGAATCCCAATTTGGGTATGTCCTATTCATTTGAGTTTGGGTTAAGTAATCGAACCCCTGCCTCTTACGGTTATCTCGAAAAGGGGGTAACAATACACACATCTCCCGTGAGTTGTGGAGACTAGAATAGTGCCCGGTATGTGTGTCCAGGTATGTATTGAGCACCTACTACATATCAGGCATTGTTTTAGGAACCAGAAACTCAGCACTTAACAAAAAGAGTCAGGATCCCAGCTGAGCTCTCCGCCTCTCAGGAAAACTTGGGAATTCCAACAAGGCCACGCCAAGAGTTTAGAATACAGATTGCACTCTCTCACGAGTCCTTGCCCCTCATTTCCTCCACACCTATATACAGTTGGCTCTAGAACAACACAAATTTGAACTGTGCAGCGTCATTTATCTGATTTTATCACATTTTTTTTTCCATCCATGGGCTCCATCCACAGTCAGATCTGCATTTTATAGATAAGTCAATTTGGTTGAATCCTTAGATGCAGAATCCTTGGATAGAGAGGGCTGATTAAAAAGAACTTGAGCCTTCTTAGATTGGGTATCCCCGGGGATCTGAAGTCAAACCCCCTCAAATACCAAGAGACAACTCTAGTTAATTTTGGATGGAGCTAAATGTTAATATCCAGATTTTCAACTACCAAGGACAGGCACCACAACCCCATATTGTTCAAGGGTGATTTGTATACAGGCAGTATACTGAAAATGGATTCAACTTCTTTCTAGTCTTAATACCAAACAAGTGCCATAAAATGAGGAAACTGAGGCACAGAGAGGCAAAGCAGCTGGAATTCAAGATCAATCTATCTCACTCCAGAGTATGTAACCCACCTTATTCCTACCCCATAAACCTCTGCAACTGTAGAGTTCTGGAAAGAACTTTACACCAATACAAGCTGTTTTGTACAAGACAGTCTATGCAAACAGCAGAATATAATTTGGCTGCGAGTCGGCAAGTGGCAAACGTCATTCCTATTATGTAAGAAAACTGGGAAGAGGATTTTGTTGCCTGGAAGAGTAAAAAAATCTTTTTTTTTTAATCTGGCAGTTAACATTTTAAGCATTTGGATTACTAAATGGATAACCATATGCTTTTTTTTTTCTTTTAGCCAATTAAAACGGTGACTGAGACCACTAATAGATTTCTAATATTGAACATCTTTGCATTACTGGAATAACAACAAACGAAAGATGACTTTTTTAGCCTTTTTTAGTAACTTTTTTATTGCGATGAAATAGACGTAACATAAAATTCCCAACTGGACCATTTTTAAGTGTACAATTCAGTAGCATCAGGTACATTCGTGTGGTGCAATCACCGCTGCTGGTTGTATTCTTTTTCAATACGCCATTAGATTTGCATCTCAGATCATGAGTATAGCAAAATGATCCTGTAATTTTATTTTCTTGAAGTCTTGCTAACTGATTTAGGAATCAAGATTCCACCAGCCTCTGGGCAGGTGAGCTGGGCAGCTTTCACTGTTTGCTAATGACCTGACTAAGCTATTTCTTCTTAAGTGTGACAGGAATCACCTGTAAAGCCACCGGGCCCTGGTATGTTGGGGAGGTGATCTTTTGAGAACCACAGAAATGTAATTCACATGCTATTTTATTTTGTCCCTGCTCGGCCTGCCCCCTCCCCCACCTCACCTCTGGTCCACCTCCTTCTGTAGTTCACGATTACGTTCCTCCAGCTGCTGCTGAAGACGCTTTCTCTGCTGCTCTGGGGGCAAGTGGCTGAAATCCTCAGTCACCACTGTCTGCAAGGGGGGAAGCGGGCTGAGTCTGGGATCATGGAGTCTGAGCTTCCTAATTCACTCCTAAAGGCTCTGAGACACTCCTGAAACACACCAAGTCCACCTTCTCCCCCACCCAAAATTCCTGGAAGGCAAGGCCATGCACAGAGCAAAGCAGGTCTGGGTGGGGCAAGGGAAAGAGAAGGCCCAGCCAGCGGCAGGAAGCGAGCCCAGGGTCCTGCCACCCAGCCGCTGGGCGGGTTGGGGTCGCCCCCTCCTCCTCTCAGAGGAGGCCTCACTTACCCCACGGCTGCCTCGAAGGCTGCGGAAGGATGCTAGCCGCGGTTTGACCGACTTACTGATCTCACTCAGTATGGCCAAGGGGTCGAGGCCGGATCGGGGGGATGGGGGTCCATTGGGTAATACCGAGGGCAGGGGACCCCCCAGGGGGGAGAAGGGCGGGGGGCGCAGCTACCGGCGGGGGCCGGGGAGGGATGGATGGGCCAGGAGGGGTAATGGGAGGATGTAGAAAACAAGGACGGAGGATGAACAGACACAATAAAGAAAAAAAGGAAAAACAAAATAGAGAAAAGAAAAAAAATGGTAAGAAAACCACAACTCAAGATGCACAATCACACACAGAAAATGCATGCAAAGAGCAACACACAAATATGGGAGGTGGAGGGGAGGGCTTTAGACTGTGAGCCAGAAGGCCACACCTCTCCCTAACCCCAGCCCCCCTGGTCCCTTATAGCCTATGCCCAGTAACTAGAACGGGACCTTAGCACGGACAGGGAGGCCCATGGTTCTGTCCACCCAGCTTTCAGGGCTCACAGTCTAGAAGGAAGAGGAAGATGCATGCACGAATCCAGGTCTCCGACAGGTAAATGGGGCCATGAGGGTCAAAAGGGCAAGCTGAGAGAGGCGCCCAAGGCAAGGAACCCTCAGAGGGCTCACAGCTGGGCCTTAGGCTGGGGACTGCATGTATTCAAAGTCAAGGAATATCAAAGACTCAGTCATGAAGGACCACAGGTATAAAGCAGGGTGAGGGTGGGTGGTTGTCAAAGATATAACCCAGGAGTGTCCAGGTATATGCTGGACATTGAAAGCCAAAAACCCCAGAGTCAGAGGGTTGGAACACAGATCCACTGGCAGGACAGGGGGAGACTGGGAGGAGTCCCTAAGGCCAGTGTCCCAAGCCGTCACCCAGCCCTGAGTTCCATAAGCAGGTCTTCTCCCAGCATCCTGAGAAGCAGCAGACAGACGCCACAGGCCCCCCTCCCTGCCCCTCCTCAGCCTCCGGGGACTCCCAGGCCAATCGCCCGCCTGTCTTCCTTCCCTCCAGCCCGGGCCGGCAGCCAAGAGGAAAATTCCTGCCCGGGACTCAGCGTTCCAGCGGCTGGGGCTGATTCAGTGGGGCCCCCCTGCTGTCCCCACTCACACCCACCACCCTTCCCAAGGGCCCCGGTCCCCACCTTGTTCTTCTTGCCGAAGGGCCAGCGCTTAGCACGGCTACGGCCAGGGGTACGTCCTTCTGAAGGGGCGCCCAAGCTGCTGTCCGAGGGTGCTCGGTTCATGGGCTGGCTGAAGTCTTCAAATTCCACATCACCAGGACGGGCAAAGCCAGACTTGTGCAGTTCTATTAGGACCTGGGAGTCCTGGGGGCAGTAGGGGGCGGCGGGGAGAGGTGGGGAGGAGGCAGTTAGGGGCAAAGCTAGGTGCTTAACTTTGGAGGCTTTGGGGTCTTCCTTCTGCCCACCCCTTGCCCACTGGCCTGGACCAGGTACCCACGTTCTTGGCGTCCACAGCTTCAGCGGCCACCTTCATGCCCTCAAAGCACTTGCCGATGATGGGTACCACCTGCAGCTCGGCTTCTGACAGGAGCCCATACCCAGCCCCCAGGTGGGTGGTCCGGCGTTCATCCATGTCCTGCAGCTTCTGCAGGGGCAGGGGCGGGCAAGACTCAGGGGTGCTGGTGGAGGGACCAACAAGCAGAGTGATTCACTCCACAAACATGATGGGGATCCACACTGGTCCCAGCCCCAAGCCGTCTGGTGGGGAAAACAGAATCAAACACAGAGATTTCCAGACCAATTTATGCAGGGGAGAAACACGGGGGCCTGGGAAATTCAGAGACGTCAGATTTGAGGAACCTCCCTTGCCTGACCTGGAAAGGTTTCCCAAAGGTGACAAGGAGCCAGGGTTTTGAAGAAAAAGAAGACCCAGCACAGACAAAGCGAGTTCTGGGGCCAGAACTGAGTAGAGCGTGCGGCTAAAACACAAGAAGGGAAACTCAAGACCTTTAAAAGGAGCTGTTAGAGCTGTGAGAAGAATGAGTAAGAGTTTCAATAGGGAACAAAAAGAAGAATGGCTTAAGGAAAGGCAGGGCTCACTGTTACTATTTGTTTCTAATTCCCTTTCAATTTAGAGATGGGGGCACTGCAGTTGGGGCTTTGATAGCTGTGTTGGTTGATTGGGGGGATGTTGGGGGAAGGCATAACTGGGGAACTGAGGGACTCACATCGAATATCTGGGGCATCTGAGAGAAATAGAAGTGGGCCTGGTCTCTGTTGAAGCGCTGCAACTGAGCTGCATACTCGTTTTTGCTTTCTTCTGCCATGTGGCTCCGAAGGTGGGCTTGCTGCTTGGCCTGAGGAATATGAAGGCAGGGCTGCTGGCAGGTTCTGGCTTCGCCTCACCCTGACCCTCAAGCTGTCCCAGACCTCACAAGCACCTTTTCCACATCAGCCTTGGTAGCATTGATGTCCTGGTCTAGCCGCTCAGCAGTCTGGGCTGCCTTCTCAGCTTCCCGGCAGTCTCGCTCAAATTTACGTTTACTCTGTGCAGGGACAGAATCAGAAAGGAGTCACCATCCCGGAGATAGCAGGATGGAAACCAAGTTTTCAGGGACTAGCAGGAAGTCATCCAGCAAATGGGGAGCAATGGGCACGTTGGAAACCCATAGGAGAAAGGAGAGTCCAGGCCAGACTAAGGGGGCGGTTCCAGGGACCAGCAACCCTCACCCTGTTCCTTAGGGTCAGAACCACCCTCCACGTCCACAAACTCACATTCTCCAGCAGTTTGAAGCCATTTTCCAGCTGCTGCTGGGCACGACGGCCTTCTTGGAAATGCTGTGAAAAGGAGAAGCGTTATGATTCCCCTGGCTTGTGGCAGGTGCCTTTGGGAAGTCTCAGGGAGGAGATCGCTCACCATCTTTCTCTCCTGTTTCATCTCCTGTGAGTACTTGGACAGTTCGAGACATACACGGACACTGAGGTTCTCAGCCACCAGCTCCCGCTGGCCAGCAAAGTCATTTACTTCTTGGAGAATCTGCACGAAGGACTGTTGCTGGCTGAACCTGTGGCGGGATGTAAAGAAGGGAACTGGGGGACAGAGCCCCCAGAAGCCAGATGCCCCAGGACCCACCTCCAGATGAGAAAGGGTAAGATCCAAGAATATCACCCCAAAGCAACCATAAATTCTGCTCTAAATCCCTTACTCCTAACACTTGAATGGGATGCATTTTGGAACCAGAATTTTGGGGGCATTAGAAAGGGGAGATGGTGCTTTGCACCCTGGTAGGATCAGGGGTGGCATCCTGTAAGCAAATACCATAAATAATTTGCAGTGAAAGGTATTAATATTACAATAAGTTGGATAAAAACGAAGACCAAAAGTAATATCAAATCAGTTTATTTGCCAGAAGTTGCTGCCAAGCAAGTTACCAAAATAACTTTTGATTTCCAGAGATTTTTGGCTTCTGGAATTGGAAACCCAGAATAAAAGTGAAATGCTCTAATGGCACTTAATATGAGCCGGGCACTGTTTTAATACGTTGGCCTAGCGGATCTTCACACGAGTGCTACAAAGTCATGACCGTCATTCCCATTTCACAGATGAGGGAAACAGGCACAAAACTTAAGTCATTTGCCCAAAGTCATTTCACTGATTTATTAGCCAGTCCTCCCTTTTTAAATAAGCAAGGAAATGAAGGCACAGGTTTGAGGCACAATTGTCCTAAAGCAGTTCTCCCAGAAAGTAGTGGATTTAGGATTTCCATCCAGGTAACCCGGATCCTACGTCTACGCTCTTACTCCCAGGTGGGAATTGAGATGAAAAGGGAGGGACCTGCCTGGGTGACCCAGTTGCAGGAGAGGAAGTGGGGACCCACTGCCCCTGCCCCCCAAATCTTGCCCTGTTCCCTGTCCATCCTTACTTGGATTCAGGGTCATCTTTGGCAGGTCTCTTGGGCAAGTATTTTTTCACCAGGTTCCTAAGGGGGACAGAAAGGCAGGAAGGTTGAGTCCTGAGCCCTCCAGGGCCTTCCAGCCTCCCGCAAGGCCCAGGGCGAGGCTATCCTAAGGCCTCACCTCAGCTGCTTGGCGTAAGTTTGCTCCACCTCAGTCCGCTCTTTCACGAATTTCACGTATCTGTCCAACAGGTCCAACCCCCACTGCGTGTGCCTCTCGAGCACCTCAAACTGATCCTGGCGAGGGTGGGAGGGGAAGGAGGGTGCAGGGATCGAGACCGGGGGATCCCACAGCCGGCCGACGAGGCGACTCGGCGCTGGCGAAGAGGAGTGGCTTCCCGGCCCCTCCCGGGCGCGGCGCAGGGGAGGGGGGCAGGAAGCCGGCGGGAACCCCCTCCCCTTCCCGGGAAGGGCCAGGCACAGGGGCGGGGCCCCAGCCGGACGACGGGGTCCCCGTCTCCAGGCCGCCAGGAGGGGAGTGGAAGGGGCCGGGCCACTCCCCCTGCCCCGGCTCCCCTAATCCCCCCCAGATTCCGGAAAATCCGGCCGGCCCGGCGTGAGTCAGGGCCAAAGAGGCAAGTTTCCCCGCAGCTTCGGGGCCCCCACAATGGCCAGGGGGCAGGCACCGAGCTCCCCGACTGCCATGCTTCCCCAGGGGGTGACTCAATCGCACCCCCTCTGGATCCACGGCACCTCCAAAGACACTCCCGGAGGTGAGGGGGGCGAGTAGCTGCCCCGCTGCGCCCAGGAACCCGGCGATGCCGCCGCCCCCGGGAGGAGGAGGGATCAGAGGTCCAGGCTCGGGGAGGGGGGAATTTTTGTGGGGCTTCCAGAGCAGAGGTTAGAAAGCGGGCTCGGGCCGCCCCTCCCATGGCCCGGGGCGAGCTGCAGGAGGAAGCGACGCCAGCCCCGGGCCTCTGTCCCCTGGAGCGCCCCGAGCCCCGGGATGGGGGTTAGAGGAGATGGAAAGGGCGATCAGGACTTCCAGGTCCCACGTGGGGCTGAAAGTGGCCCAAGGGCCCCCTCCCCCGCCCCAGCCCGACAGGCGGGCGCGGGCAGGGACCCAGGGCCGTAAGATAAGCCGGCGGCCCGGCCAGGACGCTCAAAATAGGTGACCTCGCCCAGCGCCCCGGCCTGGTCCCGGGACTTCTGCCTCCTCGCGCTGAAGCCCGTGCCTCAGTTTCCCCGCACCGCTCCTGCAAGGGCGCCCCTCGCCCCCGGGCGTCCGTTTCAGCCTTGGGGGAGCCCCGAGGGTGGGCGGACGGGGGGGACCCCCGGGTCGGTGGAGGGAAAGCGCGGGGTGCGGGCTGCGGGACTGCAGGCGTGGAGAGACGGGGTAGGTCTGGACCTCAGCAAGGGGCAGTGTGAGGTCGGGCGGGTCAGACTCACCCACAGTTCAGTGCCCCAATCCATGCTGCTCCCGCCGATGCCGCGCCCGGCCCCCGCGCCCGCGCCCGCCGCCCGCCGCCCGCCGTCGGGAGACTCCGCTCGGGACTGCGAGCCGGCCCCGCCCCGCCGCGGCCACGCCCACCCGCGGGCAGCCACGCCCCTGCAGGCTGTGCCACGCCCCCGTGCGCTGGCCGGGCCAGCACCCTGAAGGCGGGGCCCAGGGGGCGGGGCCAGGGGAGGCCCCGCCCCCATGCTAAGGACGTAGCCGCTCGACGCCACTAGACCGACCCCTTAAAGGAACCCCACCCATTGTCCAAACCTTCCAGGTCCCTCTCAGCCTCTCCCACCTCCAGCCCCACCCCTGCTCCGCCGCGGGCTAGTCTCCCCGGCCTCTCTCCCCGGCCATTACTTAGAGGGCCAAGACGCTGAAACCTCAACACAGAAGGTCCTTCCTCCACCCCGTCGCGGGGAGAGCCTGAGGTCACCCTGCTCTTGCGGGCCGGCCCGGCTCCAGATGTCTACGTTCGTCCCACTAATGGTCTGGCCACTCCGGCCACAGCCGGATGGGAGGACTTCGATCCTGCTCAAGACGTGCCTCCGCCAAGGCCGGGTCCATTAGCGCCCCCACCGCATCCTGACTTCCCTCCCCCAAAAGGCTGCGCCGGGAAACTGAGGACAAGCTGTCCTTGGGGCTCTGGGCCCAGGCCTCTCCTCGGCTGCTGTCCAGCTCGCGCTTGCACCTGCCCATTTTCCAGGGGCATCCATTAAGGCCCAGTGAGGTTTTATTGTCTGCACCGACCCAGGGTCTCGGACTCCGCCCCTTCCTCAGACACTAGCCTTGGGGCTAGGAAGTCTGTCTCTACCCTCATAAAAGCCTTTCACACCTCGTTAATCCCTTTGAGGCACTGGGATGAAAGTGGAGGGATCCCAGTGGACCCCACCCTCCACCTCTCCCCTCTTTGGTGTTTTCTCTCTGGCTGCAGAGGTGACAGGCGCCCTGCCGGGGTCTAGAGCTCCCGCCCCGTCCCTCCCACCCCGCGGAAGGACTGGCTGGGCTCTGAGTCCCCAGGCTCTCAGCGCGCTCTCCGGGAGCCCACACTGAGAAAGAAGGCTCCACGGGGACAAAGGCTCTGCAGGAACCTGGCTGGCCCCACCTGCTGGTGACTTCTGAGCTAGGAAACTTCAAGCGGGCTCTGCTCCAAAGGTTGAAGGATCAGATAGGGAGTTCAGCCTGGGATCAGGGAACCTCCCCCTTTGCTGGGACCACCCTGTTACAGGTGACTTAGCCTGGTATTAGAGCCCACCCCCGGCTCAAACTCCAATGGAAATTGGGATTCACCCCAGGTCAGCGCCACAGTTAGGATGGGGTTTCGGGATGGGTTCAGAGGCTTAGCAGAGAGAGGGGTCAGCAAGCCAATTGCGTATCTGGGATTCAAACTAGGTTCCAGGGATCAGCCTTAGCCTGAGGTCAGGCTGGGTCCCGAGATGCGGTGGAGAGGGTGGCCGCTCATCCAGAGATTGGGCTCCGTGTAGGTCGAGGGCCAGAAGGGGTGGGGGACTTCTGATTTCAGGCTGAAGATGGCGCTCAGCCTGGGGCTAAGGTTCGACCCATGGTTAAGCCCAGCCTAGGCTCCGGGGGGGCCGGACCTCCGGTTGCCTCACTCTGAGACCCCACCTAAGGCTGGGGGCTCAGCCTGGGGTCATAGGTCATCCTGGAGTCAAGATTTAGCCTGAGGCCAGGTTTAGGCCGCTGCTGGATCAGAAAGATAAGGAGAACTGGTCAGGCCCGCAGCAGAAGAGACTGTTTACTAAAAGTTTGAGCTCTGGCTGGGAGCCACATCCCTGGGGCGGGTTGGGGAGGGAGGCGAAGTCCGCCTTTAAGGGACACTGGGAAATGTAGTTTTTCTGGTGATTTTTTTGGCGCTTGTGTGCGCCCGCTGCATTCTGGGTAATATAGTCCTGGACCAGTCTGTCAGTTAGAGCAGATGGAGGAATTCCGCTTCAGAAGCCGGAGACCAGATCCATCACAATTGGTTAGATGGGCTGTAAATCAAATTACATCCGGGAACGATCTCCCCAGTGATTGGTGAGACTGGAGGCGGGATTAGATGTCATCAGCACTCCCATTCGGAGAGCATGCTGTCCATTTGGTGTCGTACGGGGAGGGGTTTGAGAAGAGCTGGTCGTTGATTGGGTGGATGGGCGGGAAAAGTCGGAGGCTCGGACCCCACAGCGCGGCGATTGGCTCACTGGTAGGCGGGCCTAGGGGCGTCAGAGGCGGTGTCTGGGGAGGCGGTGGCTCCAGAGATGGCAGTGAGCGAGAGGAGGGGGCTCGGCCGCGGGAGACCCGGCGAGTGGGGCCAGTGGCCACTTCTACTGCTGCTGCTGGGCGGCTGCTCGGGGCGCATCCACCGCCTGTCGCTCACGGTGAGTCCGCCGCGCGGCAGCCTGGGGCGGGGGGGCGCCGCTGTGTCGCGGAGAAGCCCCTGGCTTGGAGTGGTCTCGTCCTACCTCCCCCGCTCCTGCCGCGGGGTGGAGCGGCCCGACGCCCCCCGCTTCCGGACCCGAGTGGTCGCGTCCGAGCATCCCCCTCTCGTCCTCCAGGTGGAGTTGCCGGGCCGGCCGCGCTGGGGTCGTGCCCCTCCCATCGGAGGCGGGGCCTCCCTCCCGGGACCCCAGACTTTTAATGCTTTGAATTCTTGAGATGACTTCGGGGCGGTAGCGCACTCGGGGGAGCCTCTGTGCGTTCTAGAATGGGGTCCTTGGGCCCCGGGGCCCTGGGTGCTCAGTGGAAACCCCACCATGCTAGACTCAGCTGGAATCTGCACATTTTTGCAATATTGAGGGCCAGGCACACCGAGCCGAGAGCCTGCTCTTCGGGGGGCTTTCACCTCGTGGGAGGGACTCCAGGCTTTCTCTTCAGCAGCCTGAGGACCCGGGGCCGCCCTGGTCCAGCCTGGAGCGGGTCTGGGTCTCGGCCTCCAGGGAGGCCCTCTCAGCCTCTCCTGCCTCCTTTGGGACCTGCCCTTTGAAAAGCAAAAGCGTGCCAGCGGGGGGCTGAAGCCTTTCGGGAAACCTCTTGTCAGGCAGGACCCTGGCGGGAAGAAGCCTGAGGTCGCTTTGCCTCGTTGGTCTCCCTGCAGGGGGAGAAGCGCGCAGACATCCAGCTGAACAGCTTCGGCTTCTACACCAATGGCTCCTTAGAGGTGGAGCTGAGCCTCCTGCGGCTGGGCCTCCAGAAGGGAGAAAAGACCCCCCTGGTGAGCGACTTTGGGGAATTTGCTGGAGGAAGTTGAGGTGTATAAACTTAGGAACACACACTCCCCCACCCCCAGATTCACATCCTAAATCTGACTCTCAGCACGTGATGTTGGGCGAATATTGGCTTCTCTGAGCCTCTGTTTCCCCATCTGTAACAGGAGATAATACCTCACGCCCTGTCATGCACTATGTGCTAGGCACTGAGCTCAGACTTCACTGGAGAGCGTGCCGGGAACTAGGCAGCCCCAGTTCCTGCAGTGAACATGCGCAACCAGCAGTTACTGAACACCCACTCAGCACTGGGTACTATGCAAAGCAATTTCCATGAGTCAGTTTCCTCCTAATCACCTCTCAGGGATGCAGTGAAAATGTGACCCAGGTAAACCCAATTTTGCAGGTTTTGCGCACAGGTTCAGGGGCACATGGTTTGCTCACAGTCACAGAACCTGGATGCCAGCCCAAGTGTGCTGGATTCCAGAGCGCAGGCCTGGGAGCCATGGCCATTTTAAATGGGGGTGCAGCGGGGAGGGAGGACAAGGTGGCTAGGTCCAGAAGACCAGCAAAGAGCTCCCTGAGGAAGTGACATCCAGGTTGAGTGGCCCTGGCTGGCCAGGAGATAAAGGAATAGGACTGCGGAAGGCAGGATGGGTCGTTGGAAAATTCGGTGAGTGAATGTGGGATGAAGTGCATAGTGAGTTCAGTAAATTAAAGGTTATGTTTCTGTTGCACTTGAAAGAAGTGGCTTGGGGAGTCCCTGCCGGAGTCCCTCGCATTCTCCCCTTTTCTTTCTACCTGCCAGGTGGGGTTCAGTCTGACCCGGGTTCGATCTGGCAGCATTCGATCCTACTCAGTGAGTGTGAATGATGGGTGGGGAGTGAGGCGGGGCAGTGGGAGGGAGGGAAGGTGTGTCCTCTGCATCTGGAACCCCAAGACTCCAGTTTTTTCCCAGAGCAGGAAGGAGAAGAAAGACTCCCTTGCATGGGTGGGTGGGGAGGGGGCAGGGGGCGCTGGGTGGGTGGAAGGCAGTAACCAAGACCCCCTCTTACCACTACTCAGACCCGGAACCCCCTGGACTGTCCTCTCCACAAAAATAGCAGCAACCTCCTGGTTCTCTTCCTCATCGACACCAAAGATCTTCGGTGAGTTGGGGAGCCAGGGGGACCCAGAGAGTGTCACTGTGTGTCCCTGGGTGTGATGCCCACGTGAGCTAGGAGGTGGAATGAGAAGTCAGCTGGGAACAACCTTGATGCCCTTAGGAAGAAGCTTCTCGATTTTTAATATCATGTTCAAGCCTTATTTGATCACGGAGCGGAGGGAGAGGAAAGGAGGGTGGGGTGCTCGGGGTCATTGTGGTGTCAGGGCAGAAGATCCAGACACAGAGGGTAAGAATCGTTCGTACATGGTGCTTCCTTTGTGCCCTGCAAGCCTCACAGGTGTTCCTTACAGATTCCTTGTGTCTTTAGTCTCCCCATTCCACGGATGGCAAAAGTGGGACCCAAGGACTAGGATTTGGAACCAGGCAGGTCTGCAGCAGCATCCTGTTGCTCCTCTGTCTATACAGTGTTCTCTTTTTAAACAAGTGTTTTCTTTTTAAATAATGCGCTAAAGTAGAGTGAGTCAGCCTCATGGGAAACGATCACTGTGGTGCAAACAGCCATCTTGATGGGTGGCAGCCCAGTGCTGCAATTTTGTGACTTCTGATTCAGCACAACACTGGCCCCCAAACAGGACACCCGGAGGGCCCGGGGGTTCTTGAAGCCATCTCACAGCCTGTGTGCCTGGCCCTAGCCTGCAGCTTCCCAGCCTCATTCCTCCTGTCCCACCCTCACCCCAGGGTCCAGGTGCGAAAGTATGGGGCACAGAAGAAGCTGTTTATCTTTCCCGGGCTCCTCCCTGAAACACCCTCTGAACCAGAGCTCCCCAAGCCAGCACACACAGTCACCCCCAAAGTGGACAGTGGTGAGTCAGGCGGGCTGCGGTGCAGGAAGGGGTGGGCGGGGCAGGGTTGCTCTACCTTCTCCCCCACCACCCCAGTTTCCTGCTGTCTGTCCATCTCTAAACTCACATGTCCCCCACAGGGACCACCGTGGACCTCAGCAAGGCCAAGTCAAAGCCCACGGTGTCTCAAGGAGCCCAGCAGGTTCGGGGCAGCCAGGTGGGAGGGAGGAGCCCAGCCTGGGGCTGACTGATGCTGGAAAGAGGTGTCTGTCCCCTCAGGGGCTCAGTGGGGAAGACAAGGAGCTGGTGTTGAGCCTGAGCCATTTCAACAACTCCTACAACTTCAGTGTGAGTGTCTGTGTGTGCCCCCGGCCTCACCCCTCCCCAGAACTAGAGCTCCCCCCCCCCAAGCTAAAGCCTCCTCTCCCCTCCCCTGCCCAGTTCCACGTGGTGATTGGATCTAGGGCTGAGGAAGGCCAGTACAACCTCAACTTCCACAACTGCTACAACTCAATGCCGGGACAAGAGCAGCCATTTGACATCACGGTGAGTGGAGAGGAGGGCCCGCAGGGCTAACTGCGGACCAGGTACTCCGTGGACCAGGTGCCTGCCAGTGGCAGGTACATCCCGGAGCGCTCCCTCTGAGCCACATGCACCACGCTGAGTAGCTTCTTCAGGCCCTCCCTGCAGCCACGCTGTGAAGTGAAAGCAGGCATGCCGGCTTGGGAGGCTGAGGCCTAGAGTTGCCTAGCTGGAGAGTGGGAGGCTTGGACGCCAACAGCTCTGCCGGTCCAGGGCCTCTCTGCAAACCCCATCACCACCACTGCCCCATTCCCAGGTGATGATCCGGGAGAAGAACCCCGAGGGCTTTCTGTCTGCCGCGGAAATCCCCCTTTTCAAGCTCTACATGGTCATGTCTGCCTGTTTCCTGGCTGCCGGCGTCTTCTGGGTGTCTTTCCTCTGCAAGAACACGTAATACCCTTGCCCCTGGGGAACCCCATCCGCCCCTATCAGACCTCCCCATCCATGCCTCTGACTTATAACCCTCTCCACCCACCTCTGTTTCTAACCCCCCACCCCCACCCCCAGGCACAACGTCTTCAAGATCCACTGGCTCATGGCGGCCCTGGCCTTCACCAAGAGCGTCTCCCTGCTTTTCCACAGTGTGAGAGCCTTGGGCCAGGGAGCAGGAGGGGGCAGCCTGGGTCCCTGGGTTTAGGAAGACGCTGGTACATGCCACTCCCCATGTCTTTGCAAACCCAGACCTCGGGTGTTCCATTTGTCCAGCCAACCTCCTTTCCATCCATGTTATTGTGTGGCCAGCTGCCCACCCACTTGACGTCTGCCTGTCCTCTTTCCAGCTGTGACGCGCCTCCTGTCTGACGGTCTCACTGTCTGCCCATCCAGCTGTGACCTTCCTTCCTCTGTAGCTGCCTTGACTGTTCATCCCTCGGTCCAGCCATTGTTCTGGCCCTCACTGTCCATTTCTGTGTCCACCCGCCATCCTGATTATAGCAGTCAGTTCATTCCGCTGACCACGACTGCCAGTGATTGTCCCTGTTCCTAAACCACTCCCTCCCACCCATCCGTCCTCCTGACCATCCATCTGTCCACCTCTAGATCAACTACTACTTCATCAACAGCCAGGGCCACCCCATCGAAGGCCTCGCTGTCATGCACTACATCACACACCTGTGAGTGCCCTTCTCTCCGGGCAGGTGGGGGGCAGGCGGGCGGGGAGATGGCTTCCCTGTCTCAACAGACGCCCTCCCCCCAGGCTCAAGGGCGCCCTGCTCTTCATCACCATCGCCTTGATCGGCTCCGGCTGGGCATTCATCAAATATGTGCTGTCAGACAAGGAGAAGAAGATCTTTGGCATTGTGATCCCACTGCAGGTGCTTACAGAGTCCCCAGGTGTGTGGGAATGCAGGCTCTCAAGGCACTGCCCCACCCACCCTGGCCCCTCCGCAGGTCCTGGCCAACGTGGCCTACATCGTCATCGAGTCCGGCGAGGAGGGTGCCAGCGACTACGGGCTCTGGAAGGAGATCCTCTTCCTGGTGGATCTTGTCTGCTGCGGCGCCATCCTCTTCCCCGTGGTCTGGTGAGGATCCTGACCCCCGCAGTCCCCCCAGGTGTGGGCGGGGTCCATGCTGACCGCCCTGTGTACCCCCCACCCCGCTGCAGGTCCATCCGGCATCTCCAGGACGCATCTGGCACTGATGGGAAAGGTAAGGTTCTAGGGAGCAAGGGACCCCCTGGGATACCTCCATGCAACCTCGGTCTCAGACACCTCCATCCACCCTCTCCCTCAGGCGCCCCTGTCTGTGCTCCCCTTGGTTGCCCCCTCCCTCCTCTCTCCCTCTCCTGACTTCCTGCCTCTTGGACACAATGTCTTTTTTGTCCCCAGCCCTCCCCCACCCTTCTCCCCTTCCTCCTGCTTCCCGTGACCCCAACTCTCTGTCTCCACCCCTAGTAGCAGTGAATCTGGCCAAGCTGAAGCTGTTCAGGCATTACTACGTCATGGTAGGAACCCCATTTTCACTCGTGGTGGGAGCATTGCCTGGGCGTGGGAGAGGACAGTTACCCCTTGGCACCCCCACCATAGCCCTCCACCTGCTGTCTCTGGCCCTGCCCTTCTGCCCAGGACCGGGGCCCCACCCTCCGCCTTCCCTGCAGTCAGGGGCCCCTGCCCGCCCTGTCCCCGCAGGTCATCTGCTACGTCTACTTCACGCGGATCATCGCCATTCTCCTGCGTGTGGCCGTGCCCTTCCAGTGGCAGTGGCTGTGCCAGGTGAAACAGGGACCCGGGTGGAGTGAGGGGGTGGCCAGACCATGGAGGTGGGGTGCGGGTGTGTGCTGATGCTCCTGCTCTGCCCCTCCACCCCCAGCTCTTGGTGGAGGGCTCCACTCTGGCCTTCTTCGTGCTCACGGGCTACAAGTTCCAGCCGGCGCGGGACAACCCGTACTTGCAGCTGCCCCAGGAGGACGAAGAGGATGTGCAGATGGAGCAAGTGTGAGTCCTGGGCCGGGCCGGGTGGGGCCTGCGCAGCTGTGGGGGTGGTCCCGGCACCCCTCAGCTCCTGGAACGCCTCCTTACTGTGTACCTCTAGAATGACCGATTCTGGGTTCCGGGAAGGCCTGTCCAAAGTCAACAAAACAGCCAGCGGACGGGAGCTGTTGTGATCATCCCCCGACCCGGGGCCGCCCTGCTTCGCCCGCCTTTGTCCTCTTCTCACACACACGCCATGCTCCAGCTCCTCTCCCCAAGCGTGTGGGGAGCGAGAGGGTGCCTGTGTGCATATGGCATCCAGCCCCCCGGGACCTGAGTTCTGGAACCCATTCAGGAGAAGACTGAAGTCCCCTCCCTCGTGGCAGCCCGGGGGCCACCCCCGACTTCAGTTGTACAATAATGACCACTCGTTTTGCTACCTGGCTTTCTTGCCTTTCTGGGAGTTGGGATAGAACAGGTGGTGTTTGCAGTTTGGGAACCTGCATTCGCGACGGGGGAGGGGTGTACAGTGTCCATTGCGCTACAAGTTCAATAAAAATGGAGAAACTGCTGGATGTGGGCCCTATGCCAGGTGCTGAGGACAGCAGTGACCGAGACCTCCCCAGTCCCAGCGCTCGAGCGGCTCACAGTGGAGATGGGTCACAGGCAGTTCCAGCACAGGGCCACCTGGCAGAGCTGCGGGGCATGCCGGGCTCTGGCCTAGCCTGGGAAGTCAGTGAAGGTGAATAGAGAAGGGGGTTGGTGGGGACCATGTATGTCCAAAGGGAGAGCGGCATAAAAATGCTGACTGGGAGACTCACAGTGGCTTAGGCTGGAGAGTATAAGCGTAACACAGCGATTGTGGTATGCCATGCCCTGTTCTAAAGCACTGGTTAAAAAAAACAAAGCTGAAGTTCAGAGGGCCTAAGTAACTTGCCCAAGATCACACAGCTGTGAGTTAGCCGGAGGCCTGGCCATACAACACTGGCCTGTGTGCGCTGCCTCTGCAGCTGGACTCCCTGGGACCACGCCTTGTCCCTGTTTACTGTGCCCCTGGATATGGAAACTGACCTCACTGTCTTTTCACATGGCAAATGGGGGCCTCATAAGATCAGAGTATCTCACACGTGAGCACGGATGCCCATGGCTCAGCACAGCGCCCAGCAACACAGCCTGACCTTCCACAGACTGTCCTGAGCCTTGAGGAGTGACCTCAGATTGGAGACACGTGTGCATGCCTTTGAGCAGACTCTCAAGATGCATTGTCCCCCCACCCCACATTTCAGCTGGAGGACCTGGGATCCATTTTGGCACTGTGAAAAAAACTGGGCCACAGGCATGGACACGGTAAGGAATTTGGCTGGGGTCAGCATATATCATGCAAGCAGAAGTGATTCAACAGGCCCAGATGAATAAATAGCCCAGCCGGAAGAAGAAGGAAGTGGGGAGACATTGCAGACTGAGGAAGTTGTGCGAGCAAGGCAGGAGCCCAGAATGGCCCTCTGCAGGGCTGGCTGGAGCAAGTGCAGGAAACAGAAACCTAAAGACAGGCAGACGCGCTTGGTCTTCATGCTGGGACCCAAGGCACCAAGCAAAAAAACAGGGAGGTCACGGCCGTACCGGGTCCATGTTGTATTCCTTACACTTGCCATGGTCAGCGGACATCCCCAAAGATGTCCATGTGTTAGTGGGCAGAATGAGGAGGACCTCAGGACCCCAAAACCTGCTCTAAATGGGTTCTGCCACCTGCCACAAAAAGAGGAAACATTTAGTGTGTAAAACTTTCAATAGAAAAGAACTTTAATACAGTTAGTGTGCAATAGAGGGAAAGAAAATACAGTATCCAAATAAAACTCCCAAAGTTACCCATTCCCTTGTGGATAAATGCCCAGGCAAACAGGGTTGGCCCAAAGCAGGACCACTGAGCCCCAAAAGCTTGCCACGAGTCTAAGGCCCCATCGGGTGAGGGCCCATAGGAAAGGGGCAGAAGGGGCCAGGGAAGTCTGCAAGGAAAGGAGCGAAGTCAAAATCCAAGTCAAGATAAAGGCTGCCATGGTCAGCTTCCCCACAGGTCTCTCACCCACATCTGTCTTTCAAGTATCCCCTTCCACGTCCCTCAAGTCCCTGGGCAAGTCCAAGGCTGAGGAGTAAGCACAGCTTCTTCGACTATCTCTGCTCCATGTGCCTCCTCCAGTCCTCTCTGCTTCCCTGCCTTCTCTCTCAGGTCCTTTTCCCAGTCTTTTCCAGCTTCTGATCGCTGCTCAGCTCCGCCTTCCCATGGGTGGTGCAGGGAACCTGGAACCTCCCCTTTCTGTGCCTGTCACACCGTTATACCTGTCCCAGTCCCTAGAACCTCTGCATTTTGCAGCTGTGATAAAGTTAAGGATCTTGAGGTGGAAAGGTTATCCTGGATTATCTAGGGGGACCCGATGTCATCACAAGGGTCCTTAAAGAGGAAGGGGGGGGGTCAGAGTCAGAAAGGGAGAAGTGACAATGGAAACCGAGGTTAGAGTCCCATGGAATACAGGTGGCCTCTAGACACTAGGAAGGGCAAGAAAACATTCACCCCTAAAGCCCCTGAAGGAACACAGCCCTGCAGACACCTTGATTTCAGGTGGACGCCCTCCGGAGCTGCAAGATAGCAAGTAGGTGTTCTGAGCCAAGCTTGTCATTTGTGGCAGCACCCATAGGAAACACATAGCATGAACTCGGGCCCTGCTACCTGGGCTCAACTCCCAACAGCTCTCACCAGCCAGAAGACCTTGGGCAAGTGGCCTAACCCTGGTCTTTAAAGTGGAGACAGTCATGGTGCCTGTGGCAGGGAGAATAATGGAAACGCATGAGACAGGACACGGCCTCAAGATCATTAGCACACGCTCACGTCCAGGCGCGCGTGGCTCCGCGACAGGCACACGCGCTGAGAAACGCGTCAGTTGGCCATTTCATCCTGCGAACATCAGAGAGGGTAACAGCTCAAACCTGGATGGCCCAGCTCACTACACACCTGGGCTCCACGGTGCCGCCTGTTGGGGCCCCCGGTTGTATGTGGGTCTGACACTGCTGGGAAGATCAAGTAATGTGTGACTGACGCATCGTCATTGCACAAGGTCTGCGAGGAACAGTCCCAGCGGTCCTGGGGCCTGGAAGAGGTGGGTCTGTAGTGGGGAGGCCAGGGGCCGCAGCGGGTAGAGAAGGGACAGCCTGGCAGAGGCCCCCCGAAGCTGGTGAGTGCTAGACACGGAAAGGAGGAAGAGGCACCCCGGCTTGGAAGTCTGACAGGGGCTGGCATCCAGGGAAGGCTGGCGGGAAGAAGGCAGGTGTTAGTAAAAACAAGAATACATTTCGTGCGCTGGGAGCGCTCGCTGCGTGCAAAGCGCCCACTGAGCGTTCTGCTTGCTCGATGCTTTTCCCTCTAGTCCCGAAGGCGAGTTTGGTGACTGTGAACGGCCACTTTACAGAGCAAGGGTGAGGCTGGAAGAAGGCAGACCTGAAAGCCAAGCCTCGGTTCCCTTTGTCCTGCTGGGGTGCATGTGTGAGGGTGGGGTTCCTCATGTCCAGGCCTCTGCTGAGTGTGTGCAAGGGGGGTGGAGGGAAGGGGCCAGGTCAAGGTTACCTTTCAGTTAATGAGTAATGAATCTGGGGGAGAAGGGAAACCCAGGCAGCCTGAAAGGGGGGGGGGGGTGGGAGGAGGGAGCTGACTGAGCGTCGCAGAAACAAGTTCCCAGAAGGCAGTGAGGTGAGGACCCTGGAACTGAAGGGCAAGGTGGGAGAGAGGCGCCCCAGCTGCTCTCAGGCCTGGCGGTGCCTCTGTGAGGAAAAGATGGGGGGTAGGCTGCACCCAGGTCCTACCCACCCAGAAATAATCATCTTTCCCCTTGTTCTCTCCTCGCTCTCCAGCTAGAATTGCCAGGCAAAATAGAGGACACCCTGTTAAATGCGAATTTCAGATAAACACTCTACTAGCACACCTTTGTCCTGATGCTTGATACACTTGGCATCAGCCCAGGTAAACAGATCTCCCTCCCTCCGGGGCCAGGATGCTGGGCCAGGTGATCCAGACAACTGCAAGCACCCTAGCTCCTTTCATTGTCGAAACAGCAGGAATTATTCTCAGTCCCATTGCTCAGCTAGACTGACCGAGGCCCCGGAATCGAAGGACCAAGCCCTGTATGGAGACGGCAGGAATTGTTCTCATCAGAGCCTAATGTTTAAGGCTGTCATGAATCCAGGAAATGGTATGGGTTTTGTGAGGGGTGAGAGGGAGGAAAATAGAGGAAGTACTGAAGGGTTGGGGGATCTTAGCAGGCACCTTCACACATTTCAGAAACTGAACCCTGATTCTGGAGAATAAGCTGGTGTTTGCATACTCCTCCTTAAAAAAAAAAAGGGTGTCGCAATCAAAAGCAGACAGAGGCCAGGTTGGTTCTGTTTCCCCACGCCTCCCCTACTATCGCCCAGGGACACAGCCAGGAAGAGTGTGGCTTACAGGAAATCAGAGCAAGCTCCCATTAACCCCTTCCACGGGCCAGGGGCTCCCCGCCTACACACCAGTCTTGCCTCCCGCACCTGGGCTTCACCTGCTCCCCCAGATGCTCAACCTCGCTGGGAACTGGGAGAGAAGCAAAATAAAATGACATTGGGGCAAAACTCCAAGTTGCCCAAGCCTGGAGGGAAAATGACGATTTTACTCAGGGCTGTGAGCATGTAAATCAATATAACTGTGGACCGGAATCCATGGATATCTAGAAAGATTGCTAATGCAGGGAACTTTGAACCAGGGTCGTGTCCTCTCATCGCTTAAGTGTCGCTTAAGTTAACCCCGTTGTAGATGAAGAACCTGAAGTTCAGAGTGGTTTATCAGCAGCGTACCCAAAATTCACCACCAGTAAGTGTCCAAGCTGGAAGAAGAGACAGGGTCAAGATTCTTCCCTGAGGAGAGCAGGGCTTGTGGCGATGGAGGTTTATCCAGTGGCAGAGGATCATGTAGTAGGAGGCAGTTGCAATAAGAATGAAATTCATGCACTAATATGAAACAACTCTCAGGTACATTGTTTATGAAAAAGCAAGGTGTCACCCAGGGAAACCAGGAAGGGTGCACCCATATTTGCTTTTAAAACCTGTAGGTGGTTGTAAATGCATCCATCTCTGAAAAGAAACTCAAGATTTGTTTATACGGTCCTGCCTGAGACCTGGCTAACTGGCTGTATCCACTCATGTACCTGTTAGATGTTGAACCGTATGAATATACTGCCTATTCATGCACACAGATTAAACTATAATTTATAATAAAAATATACTAAGGTAGCAATGGGAACTTTCATCAGTGATGACATTTGTTAACCACCATAGCCACTCAGGCATCCTGGCAAGGGTAGATGAAGGGAGATCCAGGCTCCCCTTGGCCTAGAAAACATGCTGGATAGTGAACTCCTGTGCATACATTAAAGCCCAGATGAAATGTCCCCTCCTCCAAGAAACCTTCCCTGATGGCCCAAGAAGCAGAGTTTTTCTTCTCCACTGAGGAAAACACCATACCATGGAGCTAGGAGTGTCAGCACTAGACTGGACTCCCAACCCCAGCGTGGCAGACTCTGGAAGTGGGACTCTGGCCACCAGCATACAGATGAACTCATAGAAAGGGTTGGGCTAACAAATGCACAAACAAAAGTGAGTTGGAAGGCAGATATATTGGGTGGGGGTGGGGGTTTCTCTGAACTTCAGTGTCCCTCCATTACAAAGTGGGTAGAACAGGGAAAGGCCCCTGTAAGCCAGGTGGCCATGACCTCAGGGTAGGGCACAACTGTGCTCGCATGTTGCAGAAGGACATGCCCTTAGGTTATTTGCCCCAGGACGTGCTGGCCCCAGGGATTGAAAAATGTAGGAAACAGTATTGAGAAATCTGGGGCAGCCCCAGAGGGGGGGAAGAGGCTGTGCAGAGCTGAGGGTTGGGCTGAGGGTTGGGTGTGGGGGAGCCATATAAAGGCAGTTCCAACTGGCTCTGCTCACTCCTCCCCATCCTCTCCTTTGTCCCTCTGTCCCTCTCCCTCACTGCCCCTGCACCATGGGGCCTGCCTCAGGTGCCAGCCTGCTGCTGCTTCTACTGAACTGTCTCCCCCTGGCCCAGGGAGATCCCATGTGAGTACTCTAGATCCCACCCCAAACAAAGCCACTTTGGAGGTGGCAGGGTATAGGTAGGTCCCCGCTAATTCAGGGTGCATTTGGGTGTCTGTGGGTGCAGAGGTTAATAGGTTGGAAAGTTAATACATTGGGGCTGCCTGTGAGTTCCAGTGTTGATGAGCTGGGTGTTTGTGAACGTCACATATTGTGAGAGGAAGGGAGAGTGTGGATGTTTATACAACCGCTCTGTAGACTTAGGGTGTTTGTGGCGTTCACACCACACACTGGAGAGGTTTGAAGTCTCAGAGGTATGGATGGACCTTACAGGATTTGGGAGTTTGCAGTTTCAGGATTTATGGGTTTCAGTGTTCATGGGTTTACAGATTTAATTTATGTTGGCTCAGGGTGGGAGCAGATTTGGTTGTACTTATAAGTCTGGAGTGCTAGAGGTCTAGGGTGTTTGTGGATTTGGGGTTTAGAGGTTTAGTGCATTTGAGTCCAAGTATGTAAATTTGGAGGTATATGAACGGACTTGGGGGTTTAGGTGATTGTGGCTTTGGAAATCTAGAGACTTAGGGGAGTTGCTGGTTCTGGCTTTGAGGTTCAGGGTTGAATGTCACACGTCATTGGATCCCGGCCAGGGCCAGAGGCTGGGCAGCTTGAATTAGCGAGGGCTGGAATCTCAGGGGTCCTCGGGATGACTGTTGCACCTCCATGCCTCCCACTGGCAGGTACTCCATAATCACCCCAAACATCCTGAGGCTGGAGAATGAGGAGATGATGGTGCTAGAAGCTCACGACATGCAAGGGGACATTCCTGTCACGGTCACCATCCACGACTTTCCAGCCAAGAGGCAAGTGTTGTCCAGTGAGAAAACCGTGCTGACAAACGCCAATGGTCACCTGGCCACAGTCACCATCAAGGTAGGTGCCCACCGCAGGCCGGCCTCAAGGACCACCCCCAAGGACCACCCCCTCTGTCTAACTCTTCACCCCAAAGCCCCTCCCCGCTCTCGGCCCCTCCCCCGAGGAGCCCGCCCCTTTTATCTGGGTTTCCGCCCCGTTCCAACCAGCACCTCCCATAGCCCCACCTCCAAGAGCCCCGCCCTCTTAGCCCCACCCCTACAGAACCCCACCTCTTCCGAGCCCCTCCCGCCCATGACCACCTCCCATTCTGAATCTCCGTGGCTTTCTGAGCTCCTCCCTCTCCACATCCCCCCCTGTTTCTGAGGCCCCACACCTGCCAGAGCCCCTCCCATCTCTCATGCTGCGTTTTCTCTGAGCTCCATCTCTCTCTGAGGCTCCTCCCCAAATTCAACCCCCTCCCCTGCTAGGCCCTTCCCTCTGTAAGTCTAATTTCCTTCTGGGGTCCCTTCCCCTCTGAGCGCTCCCGTCCTCTGAGCCCCCTCTCTGCTTCCCTAGTCCCATCTCTGATCCCTACCTTATCTCTTGCTCTTGCTCCTGCTCTCAAGACCACTTGTCTCCCCAAATCTGGGCAAACCAAGGGGCCCAGGGAGGATGGGTAGACTCCGTTGGAAGGAGGAGCAGGCCTGGACCTCTCCCAAGACCTAACTGTTATAGGGCAGCCCCGATATTGAACGGGTTGCCTGGCTGTGGGTCCTCACCCGCGCGCTTACAAGGGACTTATGAATACTCCACTACAGGCACACACAAAAGGTTAATAAAAGGTTTATTTTCAAGGGAAAAGGAAATAAGGAAAATGGACAACTCAGGGAGAAAATAGGGAAATAAAGTCTTTAATGCATCCTACCCGATCCGCCGACCTGGAAACCCAAAGTCACTCTCAGAGCTGGCCGGACGCTGCGAGCTGGCGGAGAGCCAAAATGGGGGACCCCCCCCCCCAAAGCCCACGTGTCTGGCTTTATCCCAACCTGGCTGCTTAACCCCACTCTCAGGTCCCAGCCACCTTCCCTTGGGTGGTGATGGGATGTGGAGTTCCCAGTGTCTTTGGCTTTGGCCTGGGGTGGGGGTGGAGTCCACAAAGCCTGTATGGAATCAGCTTTAGGACAGCCTTTCCCCCTAACATAAGGACTGGACTGTGGGCGAGAGGATTGGGCATTAGGGCCCTAATGGCGCCTTGGTCTGTGTCTAGCTCCCGGTCAGCCAGGAGTTGAAATCAAATAAAGGGCACAAGTTTGTGAGTGTCCTGGCGACCTTCGGGAACAATCCGGTGGAGAAGGTGGTGCTGGTGAGCCTGCAGAGCGGGTACCTCTTCATCCAGACGGACAAGACCATCTACACCCCAAGCTCCACGGGTAAGGGAGAAGGAGGGACTGGAGAGGGCGGGCTGGGGATGTGGGGAAGCACGGGACTCACCAGGCGCTCCCTTTTTCCCCCAGTCCTCTACCGGGTCTTCACCGTGGACCAAAACCTGCTGCCCGTGGGCCGGACCGTTATAGTCAGCATTCAGGTACCAGCTTGATGACAGAGGGTGCAGGAGGGATAGCCACAGGCGGAACAGAGACAGGAGAGACAAAGAGAGACCTTAAAAAAGCTCAGCAGTAGAACCTGAGGGGGTGGGGGGAAGCAAATATTGTTTAAAAATGAAAAATGATGTAAAAAGTTAAAAAAAAATAAGAAAAAATTAAAAAAAAAAGTTCAATAGAAACTCAAAGGCAAAGAAACATGTAGAGGCACAAACACAGGGTGGAGACCCAAGGAGACAGTATGGAGCGATGCGTGCTCCCATGTTTTGGTCCCGCATACAGCCCTGGACACTGCGTCACTGTGGACAGGTCACTCACCGTCCTGAGCCTCAGTTTCTTACCTGAACACTGGGGTGATGGCGGACAGGTCAGTGCAGCCTGTTCCGCCCACTGCCGCCAGAGGGCGCCTGCTCAAATGTCACCCATGCCCCAATTTTACAGTGGGGACTCCTGTACCCCCCTACCCCCCCACACACACTCCACTCTTTTCTTCCTGCCTTCTCTTTCTCTTGTGAATTGGATGTATTTGTTAATTTCCTCTTCCCCTATTTACCTTGATCTTAAGCTCCAATGGGAAGGAATTTTTATCTGTTTGTTCAAGGCCTCATTCCAAACCAGCACAGTCACTGACATGCAGTAGAGCTTAATAAAAACATACTGGAAGACGGGCAGCAGGGAGAAGGAAGGAGCAGAGAGCCCCTGGCAGGGGGAAGCAAGCGGAGAAAGAAGGGCAAGGGGAGGGGAAGAAGAAGCCAAGGCAGGAAGAGGCAGGTGTGACCCTGAGGGTCTTTCGGGGGTATTTGTCGAGATCAGGCAGAGAACACGCACTGTGCTCTGAATGCCCTGAGCTGGCTGCAGGGATTCCTGGGGACTGTTCTGCAGGGAGCAGAAAGCACAGAAACCTCCACGGCACAGGTGCTGCCGCCTGCAATCGGATGTCCGGGTGTCATGGAAGCACCATATCCACAGTTATCCTGATTTCCCAGAGGAGCCAGTAGGAACAACCATCTCTCTTTGGCTCCTGATACCTAACTGCGGGCAATGTATGAAATAGTATAGGTATTTGACCAAGCCACAGGAAATTGCTATTCTTATAGGTCAAAAACCTAAAGTAGGCAATGATTCAAATGCCCCAAAGTTGGTAATTATTACTACTTATTATTAGTTATTACTTGGTATTAGTAGTATTCAGAAAGAAAAACTATGTCCCAAGCCAATGAGGTAGGGATGAGATTTAGCTCCTTTTTCTAGATGTGTCCATTGAGCACAGAAATGTTAAGTAACTCAGCCAGGATCACACAGCTTATAAGTGGCACAGCGGAGATTTGAACTTGGCTTCATGTTCTTCATCACTGACCCTATAAGCATGGCACAGAGAAAGTCCAGACATGGAGAGGGAGAGAGGCTAAGTGTGGTCTCTGAAGAGCCATGTGCCTCCCTGTCTCCTCACAGACCCCCGACGGCGTTAACGTCAAGAGGGACTCCTTGTCTTCTAACAACCAGGGTGGTATCTTAGCCTTGTCTTGGAACATTCCAGAGTTGGTCAAGTATGTCATGCCCTCCCAGAGGGGGTTCAGGGCTCCCCAAACCCAAGAGAAGGGGTGGGGGGCTGCAAGGCCTTGTCAGATCACTCACCTGCGTTCCCTCCGCCCCTCCCCCACCGGCCCCCAGCATGGGACAGTGGAAGATTCTTGCCCACTACGAAGATTCCCCGCAGCAGGTCTTCTCCGCTGAGTTTGAGGTGAAGGAGTATGGTAAGAAGAGAATGGAGCTTGGAGCAGGGGTTAATGCTGGGCCCAGTGCTGCCCCCCAACCAGTGCCATCTCTCCTCCCAGTGCTGCCCAGTTTTGAGGTCCAAATAGAGCCTGAAGAGAAATTCTACTACATCAATAACCCAAATGGCCTGGAGGTCACCATCATTGCCAGGTGAGGAGCTGTGGTGGGAGCAGGTGGGGACCAGGTGAGGAGACAGGTAAGTACCAGGTAATGGACCAGGGGAGGGTGATGTGATGAGCCAGGGAACTCTGGGTCACTACAAGTAGATTTAGCTTTTCAGGAGGGGAGAATCTGAGACTCTCCTTCCTGGCAGGTTCTTATATGGGAAAAATGTGGATGGAACAGCCTTTGTCATCTTCGGCGTCCAGGATGGTGACCAGAGGATTTCACTGGCACAGTCCCTCACCCGAGTTGTGGTACCTGACAGAGCTCCCTCTGAGCTCACTCTGAACACCCTCCCTCTCCTCTGTGTCCCCTCCCTACCTGATCCTTGCCTTTCCCTGAGTCCCATCACTTCCCCCAGATCGAGGACGGCACTGGGAAGGCGTTGCTGACCAGAGAGGTTCTGCTGAATGGCGTGCAGCCCTCCGAAGCCAACGCCCTGGTCGGGAAGTCATTGTACGTGTCTGTCACCGTCATTCTAGATTCAGGTGAGACCTTGTCTGAGGATGGAGGCCCAGAACCTCCATATGGTCCAGTATGACAAGGGTGGCTTTGGGAGAAACTGACGGGGGGAGTCCTGTCTGATGGGAGAGGCCTGGTGCTCGGGGCAGTCCAGGAGCTCACCCTCTTGGCACCCCCTGCCTCAGGCAGTGACATGGTGGAAGCAGAGCTCAACGGGATCCCCATCGTGACCTCCCCCTACCAGATCCATTTCACCAAGACGCCCAAGTTCTTCAAGCCAGCCATGCCCTTCGACCTCATGGTGAGACACAGGGTGCAGCAGACCCTCACCCTGTTCCTGAGCTTTGGTCAAGCCTGTGGGTCTCCCTGACCCCACTTCACCTGCCCCTGTATCCACAGGTGTTCGTGACAAACCCCGACGGCTCCCCGGCCCGCCGCATCCCCGTCATGACCCAGGGCTCTAATGTCTTCTCCTTGACCCAAGATGACGGTGTGGCCAAGTTGAGCATCAACACACCCAACAACCGGAAGCCCCTGAGCATTACTGTGAGTCTGGACCAAGCCTCGGGACCCCACACCAGGAGGTGGGGGACTCTATTCATACAGTGGGGTCCTGACATTTGCACAAAGGGATCCTGCCAAGTGCATAGTGAAGTCTTTTTTGTTTGTATAATGGGATCACGCCATTTACAAAGAGCTACAGAGAGGTGCCTGCACAGTGGGGTCCTCCTTCTGCAGGGGGGACCTCTGTGATTACGTTCAACCAACCTGAGGAATCCAAGGTCATCTCCCCAGCTCCCCAAGATCCTCAACCTAAGCCATCTGCAAAGTCCCTCTTGCCACATAAATAAAGTACCATATTCCCAGGTCCCAGAGGTTAGGATCTGGGTGCATTTGGGGGGCCAGTGTCTATCCCTCTTTCCCCACCCAGGTACGCACGAATAAGGAGGATATCCCAGAGGCACAGCAGGCCACCAAGACCATGGAGGCCCAACCCTACACCACCCTGGGCAACTCCAACAACTACCTGCATCTCTCTGTGCCCCGAACGGAGCTCAAACCGGGAGAGACACTCAATGTCAACTTCCACCTGCGAACAGACCCCGGCCTGGATGCCAAGATCCAATACTACACCTACCTGGTCTGTGGCTTTCCGGAACCCCCAGCCTCCCCTCCTTTCTTTTCCAGCTCCCCCAAGAGCCCTCCCAGATCCTGGATCTCCCTCACCTTCCAAATCCTTGCCGTCTGTCCCCCCAGATCCTGAACAAAGGGAAGCTGTTGAAAGCTGGACGCCAGGTTCGAGAGGCCGGCCAGGACCTGGTGGTGCTGCCCCTGCCCATCACTACAGACTTCATCCCTTCCTTCCGCATCGTGGCCTATTACACAATGATTGGCACGAACAGCCAGCGGGAGGTGGTGGCTGATTCCGTGTGGGTGGATGTCAAGGACTCGTGTGTGGGCACGGTAAGCTTCACCGAAACTCTCTGAGCCTGTCTTGGGGCTCCAGCTGGCCGCTGCTTTCTAAGTCTTGCTCCCTCTGTCTCTGCCTCTTTGCCATCTTCTGAATCTATTTCTCTCCCATGTCTGCTGGGCCCCGGCCTCTCTCTCTCCCTTTCCTCTTCTGCTTCAATCTCAGTGCAGGTGCACCTCGTGCGGTTGCACTGGGCAGATACATCGGCTTTTTACACATTAAAGGTTCATGGCAACCCAGCATCAAGTATTGGCACCATTTTTCCAAGTGTGTGCTCCTTGTGTGTCTCTGAGTCACATTTAATACAGGTGTGTGCATTGTTTTATTTTTTAAGATTTATTTATTTATGCATACAAGAATTGGGGTATAAGCCAGAAGTGCAGGGGGTGAGAGGATTCATCAGAGACAGAGTGGGGAGCAGGAGAGGTCTGCTGTGCCATGTGGGTCACCTCCCTGGCCGGGGATAGAACTTGTGCTGCAGTGGCTGGCCATAGCTTAATAAAGCTGTCTTTAACCCCTGTGCCGCCAGGGAGGCCCTGCTTTGTTTTAAACAAACCACTATTAAAAAAATAAAATAGGGCCTTCCCTGGTGGCGCAGCAGTTGAGCGCTGGGCTGCTCTGCAGCGCCAGTTTGATCCCCAGCCGCCTGCGAGGGTCCCACATGGCGCGCAGACCTCTCCTGCCGCCCGCTGCTCCCCTCAGCAGTGTGCTTCGGTCCTTCTGCCTGTTCTGCTCCCCGCTCTGGCTCTGGTGAATCCTCTCACCCTCCCGCGCTTCTGACTGTACCCAGTGCTTGTATAAATAAATAAATAAATCTTAAATTAATTAAATAAATAAAAATAAACATACCACTATTATACACTTAATGGGCTACAATGTACAGCAGACCCTGTAATGAGTGGGTGGAAAAGTGGGTGGAAAAATGAATAAATGAATGAATGAATGAATGCCAATGATAGTTGACTATTGAAAGTGTTCTGGGTCTTTAATTAGAAGTTGGGTAATGTATTTGTGATCAGAAATATGCCATAGGATCCTATTGACATGTCCACATGTCAATCAGGCTAGGATCAAATTGGTTTCCATTAGATGTCTTTCACTCTCAAGAAACTACCGACAACATTCATGAGGATCTACTGCGGTGTAAACATAACTTTTATATGCACCGGGAACCCCAAAAATCACATGACTTGCATTATTGCAGTATTCAGTTTATTGCTGTTGCCTGGACCTGAACCCGCAATGTCTCCGAGGTGGGCCTGGCTCTGTCTCGCTCCTGGTCTGCTTTCTCCTCGACTTTCCACCTGAAGTTCTGCCCATCTCCCTTCTCTCTCCGTGTCCACCTTTCATCCCAGGACTGCTCTAGCTCAGCTACCCCAAAACCAGGGACTCGCAGGGCTGACACCTCCCTCCCGCCCCTCTTACTTCCCCACAGTTGGTGGTGAAAGGTAGTGGGGACAAAGAGAAGCAGCACCTGCCCGGGCAGCAGATGACCCTCAAGATAGAGGGTGACCGGGGAGCACGCGTCGGGCTGGTGGCTGTGGACAAAGGCGTGTTTGTGCTGAATAAGAAGAACAAGTTGACTCAGAGCAAGGTATGTCCTTGAATCCCCAGCTTGGCTAGAAGTTGGAGGCCACAAGATGTCTTTGCAGGGAGATGGAAATGATGCTGGGAGAGCAAAAGGGCTTGGGTGGGGTCGTTGAAGAGTCCATGGGGTGGAAGTTCAGGTTGAAGATGGGAGTGCAGATGGGCAAGGATCCACACCCGGGATGGTCAGGGAGTCCAGCAGCAGCATGTTCCAGAATCTTCTCTGGGTGCTGGGATGAGGCTGGAGGTGGGCAGGATGGACACGTTGGCCCCTGCCCAGAGGCATTTCTGGCGGGGCCTCACCCCACCCTTGCCCACCTGCACACTGAGCAGATCTGGAATGTGGTGGAGGCGGGAGACATCGGCTGCACGGCAGGCAGTGGGAAGGACTATGCAGGCGTCTTCACCGACGCGGGACTAGCCTTCCAGACCAACAAAGGCCTGCACACCAGCCAGCGGACGGGTGAGGCTGCATTCCCAGGGGCACAGCACCTCACCTCCCAGAGGCGGGAGCAATGAAGGGTCCTGGGGTCCAGTCCTGCCTCCTCTGCTACCTAGCAAGTCACTTCTGAGCCTCAGTTTCTTTGCATGTCAAACGGGAGCGGCAATACCCCCGCCTCCGGCCCACGGTGAGGAGTAAACTGAGGGAGCACAGGAGGTATTTAACCCATCTTGCTCTCCGCCCCCGGCCCAGAACCCGAGTGCCCGAAACCAACCGCCCGCCGCCGCCGCTCCGTGCAGCTCATGGAGAAGAGGACCGACAAAGGTGGGGTGCTCTCCCTGGCTGCCCTGCCCGCCCCACCCTGGCCACATGGGAGGGACCTGACCACTAGGGAGCCAAAGAGGAAGGGAGAAGGCCCAGCCCCGGGGAGTCCCTCCTGCTCCCCAGTCCCTCCTGCTGTGGCCTGGGCTGAGGCGTGACGGGTCTGCATGTCCACAGCCGGGCAATACCAGAACAAGGAGCTGCGCCGCTGCTGCGAGCACGGCATGCGTGAGAACCCCATGAAGTTCTCCTGCCAGCACAGGATCAAGTTCATCAGCCAGGGCCCTAAGTGCGTCAAGGCCTTCCTGGACTGCTGCAACTACATCACCAAGCTGAGGCTCGAGCACAGCCGCCTGCGGCCTCTAGGCCTGGCTAGGAGTGAGTCTGAGTCCCAGCTGAGGGGTCCTGGCCGGGGAGGAGCAGGTCCAGCTGCCGGGGAGGGAGGCCCTGTCTGAGGAGGAGCAGGTCCTGGCTGAGGGGTCCCTGTTGAGGGGGGAGGAGGCCCTGTCTGAGGAGGAGCGGTTCCAGCTGAGGCAGGAGGAGCTCCTCTCTGAGACTGAAAGAGCTGAGGAGATCAGTGACCCAGGTCTGAGAGAAAGACAAGGACCTAGCTTAATGGAGTTTGGGAGGTGGAGGTAAGACTGTCCCTGGCCTGAGGGAAAAGCATTTTCCAGTCTGGAAGGATGGTCCCAGCCCAGCCCACTTCCATCTGAAGTGTGTCCTTGCCAGTGCCCAGGACATCCACAGCCTGATGGAAAGTTCCAGATGATGAGGTTGGTCACTCTAGTTGCCATGGAAAGACTCCAGTGGATTTTAAACTTGCTTTTACCATTGCCTTCCAAAGAGAGGTGCCTGACTGGGTGCCTAACAACCAGTTGGTTCATTCAGTTCTGGATAAGACAGATATGTACACACTGGAAATAAATACATCCAAAGCGAAGTCAAGAGAAATTTATCATATAGTAAGCCCATTTAAAGCAAAACCAGAATGTTCTTCATCACCAGACAGCATTTACAGGACTGCTGGGAGGTTTTGAGTATTTATGAGGTATTAAATGCCTTTAATAATGAAATAATTATTTAATTTAAATAATTTCATTAAATAATGTAATTAAAATAATTAAATCCTTTTAATGCCTCTTAATTAGAGAAATACCTTTCTGCGAGGATGGATTTCATTGAAACTGACAATGTGGAAGGTTCAGGCCCCCAGAATCAAGGTCACCTTGGCACTGTCACAGTTCACCCTAACCTGTCCAGACTTCGCTTTGGAAATATTTAGGCAGAGCAGTCCTTGCTCTGGAGCTGTTCCAAGAAGCCCTTGGACACCTTTTTTTTGTACCTCTTGTTATTTTCACTGGGGACTGGAAATTTCACTCGTCAGTTGTGTTCCCAGACCGAAGACAAGTGTGGGTGACTCTTGAAATTGAGGGAAACAATGTCATCCATCACATAACCAAAAGTACTGAAAGAGAATCCCTTTGCCTAAAAACTGAGAAAGATTGGAAACCCTTCTCGGTGGCACAGTGGCAGAGCGAAGCAAAAGTAATCATCTTTTTTTTTCCCTTAAGCAATCTTGCACTTAGAGAAAAATTGGAAATACAGATAAAAGAATTTTTTCTCATGTACTGTTTGATGCCCCAGTATCCCCCACCTCCCACCACCAAACAGCTAAGTGCTCACTTTCTAGAAGCAAGATATTTTCTCCTACAAAACCACAGCATGATCATGAGATTGAGTCATTCAATTGCCTCTGTACCACCATCCAATCTTCAGGCCCCATTCAAGCTTTGCAGGGTTTTTTGGTTTGGCTTTGTTTGCCCCTTGTAGGGCCAAGAGCCTGTTCAGAATCCCACATTGCATTTACTTCTTGGGTCTTTCTATTCTCCTTCAATCCATCCAGCCTCTCAGCTCTTTTCTGTCTGTCCAGGACTTCATGTCCTTGCTGTGTGTGAAGGAGTCAGGTGAGATATTATGTGGTCGAGCCACATTTAGGTAGTCTGCTCTTTCTCCATTTTCAAGCTCAGGTTCTGCCTTCTTAGCAGAATTGTCACAAGAGAGACTGTGTCATGGGTGCCTCATAGCAGGGGCCGCCTGGCATTGACTTGTCCCATTATTGGTGACTGAACCTTGATCGCTTGATTAAGGTGGTGACTGCCAGATTTCTCCATTGTGAAGTTTCTCTTCATTCCTTTTGAGTTACTTTTTTAACTTCTCTTATCTCTCAGATCAGGCAAAATTTAAGTCAAGGGAGATTTTCCCCAAAACCAACTTTCATTATGCCTTTAAAAAAACAGGTGCGTGTGAGCTCCGTCTATGGTAATGTGTGGGTTTTGTCCACATTTGTATGTATCGTTTTTAATTTTCTTTTTTGCTGAGAAATAAATAAACTTCTCTCTAACACGTTGCCAAAGTGGACAAATATTTCTCAATTCTTCAGGCTGAAAAACCTCTCCCAAAAGGCACAGAGTTTCCCAAATCACATGAACAAAGGATTCTACTTTCAGTCTTGTTGCAAATTGCACTAATGTGACCATGCTGCTTTCTGCTCCAGTGACCTAGAGACTCTCTTTGACAAAGAAGAGATAAGTTTACTGAGAAAGTTAGACAAAAATCTGATCTGCTAGGATGCGGTTTACAAGCACAGGGTTCTTTCCCCACCCCACCCACAGCACTGTGTAATTTTTTTTACCACTTGGGGTGAGACAGAGGGTTGCTTAAATGTTGCTATTTCCAAGGCACCTTGATGGATTGATGATTCCAAAATCTGCGTGAATTGGGGCACCTATGGAATTCTACCTACTTTGTAGTGGGGAAGACACTGAGCCAAATTAAAATCTGTCCCTCGCTCTTGAGGAAAGCCACCCAGGGCTGAACCCCATTCCAAGCCTACCTGAGGGTGTCAGGCAGACTCCCTCTGACCTGGGCAATTTCTCAACTCACCTGATTGCTTTCAGATTGTACACGGGCGTGGTGCCTGTGGGTCTTGATGCTATAAGATGCTTTCATTTCTCTGCAAAATGGGGTGGGGATGAGCATAAGCCAACCTGGATTATGTTCACCTCTAACCAGCACAGGTGTAAGAGAGGATTTTAATGTATTTTTATGAAGGAAAGAGCCCTCAAAGGCAGACATGCTGGGGCCCCTGGAAGTCATCACCCAGCCCTGTGTGTTCACTGCTGGGAATCCCCCCAAGGTTGGAGAGATGAGTCTTTAGGGGAACACACCTGTTCTAATCCCAGATCGTTCTCCCCTTTTCCAGGCGACATGGATGAAGACATTATCCCAGAAGAGGACATCATCTCCCGAAGCCAGTTCCCTGAGAGCTGGCTGTGGACCATAGAGGAGTTTAAAGAACCAGATAAAAATGGGTAAGGCTGGGACACCCTCCCCCACTTTATTCCCCCAGGGCCAGCTCCTATCACTGCCCCCCCACCCCAGTCTGGGCCATTTGCCTCCACCCACAGCACCCCCTCTTCTGGAATTACAACCCAATCTAGAAAAACCAAGAGCTGGGCCACTTACTTGTGCCCACTCCCAGACCCCCTGCTTCCCCCGGGCCCCTCCTGCCATCTCTCCCCCTCCACCATATTAGGTGGCTTCTCCTAATAGCCCCTCTTTCCCCATCCAGAATCTCCACCAAGACCATGAATGTGTTCCTGAAAGACTCCATCACCACCTGGGAGATTCTGGCTGTGAGTTTGTCTGACAAGAAAGGTAAGAGAAGGAGGTAGGGACCCTAGCATCCCACAGCATTTTCTCTTCCCATCAGGACAGACAGAGCCTGTGTGTTTCTTACTGGCTTATTCCTTGCCTCCTGGTTAGGGAGGGGCATCAGAGTCTAGACTGGGGGTGACATGGTTAGTGCATTTTATAAACTAGGTTTTTTGGAGCAGTTTTAGTTCAATTCAGCAAAACAGAGTGGAAAGTACCTAGACTTCCTAAACCCCGTATTCCCACACTCACACCAGCTGGCCCACTATCAACATCCTGAACCAGAAGGAACATTCATTAAATCAATGTCATGGACATGTCACTATCACCCCAAGTTCATAGTTGACATTAGGATTCACTCCTGGTGTTCTCTGTGTTTGCACAAATGTATAGTGATGATGTAGTAACTTCGCACAATAATTTGCAACAAGAACTTTTAAGAGGTGATGTCAATCTGACAGAGAGTAAAACCATTAAGAAAAAAGAGGAAGCCAGATGAAATGCATGATTGAAATATCGATTGTCAGGTTGTACAACATTACCCCAAAAATGCATGTGTCCCCCACCACTGCCAGCAGTTAGGTGTGAAGACCTGACCAGGCTGGCGGGGCCCCTGAGCAGTCAGGGGCTGCGGCCGTGACTTTGAGTGCAAAATAGAAGCAGGTGCCAAAAATTCATTCATCACGATAAATAACTTTTTCATTCAACATTTTTTAAAAAATCAAAGTGAACGCAAAAAAAAAGTCCACGGTGAACAAAATATCTAAATTGCAAATAGAGACCAGTACCATTTGGACCTATGTTGGGGTCTGGAGCATGTTTTATGTACCTGCTCAAAGTCAACTTTTCCAGAGCATTAAAGGAGTTGAAAAATATTGAAACATTGAAAAGCGGGTATATTAAAACTCACATTAAGTGTAACTTTTTTGTTTCTATTCAAAGCCAGAATTTATCATGCTATATTGTAGTATTGTTATAATTGTATTATAAATCATACTTGGTGTCATTTTACTTTCCTGACTTCATGATTTCAAAAATCTGCTTCTTTGCTTATCTGGCTTTTAACTGAAGGAGTTGGCTTTTTCTGGCATTTTTTTTTTTAAAGATTTATTTATTTTTACAAGCACTGGGTACAGTCAGAAACACAGGAGGGTGAGAGAATCCACCAGAGCCAGAGGGGGGAGCAGAACAGGCAGACCGATGAAATACACTGCTGAGGGGAGCAGTGGGCGCAGCAGGAGAGGTCTGCGCGCCATGTGGGACCCTCGCCCGGCAACTGGGGATCAAACCAGCGCTGCAGAGGCTGCGGGCAGCCTCACAACCCAGCGCTCAACTGCCGCGCCACCCAGGAGGCCCTTTTTCTGGCATTTTTTTCTTGAACAAGCGATGATCAAAATGGAATAACGTACCCAACGCACATAATTTTCCTCTTGCCTAACACTCCAATATGGAAAACCTGCCCCTCCAACCCTTACCCCCTTCCCCTCGCCTTTCTGCTTCAAACCAGAGCGTCACTACACAGTCACACCCTGCTCGCCATCTTATGGGTCAGCAGAGTGGGTCCTGATGGGCTATTTCGCTTAGCCTAGGTGTGCGGTAGGCTCTGCCTCCTAGGTTTGTGTAATCACACTCTACAGTGTTCACACAGCAATGGAATCCCCTAACAACCCATTTCTCAGAACGTACCCACCACGTTAAATCTCTGTTCCAATTGTACGTTTTCATAACTGGCAACTGTTCTGTCCTGTCCTGTCCTCAGCACTGCAGTCATTCTGGGGGTAGATAATCCTTTGTTGTGGGCAACTTCCTGGTGCCTCCTAGGATGCTGAATTACCCCCAATGGCGTAGCACCCCCTGTGTGACATCCAAAAGTGTGCCTGGGGGGCAGAATCTCAAAGGGCTCTGTGATCTGGGACACCTCCCCAGCATCATTGAGTGACCAGGAACTGGGCTAGCTCCCTATGTATCATTTCATTTATTATTCACAAATATGAGGCTGGTATTATTATCCCTCAAATTCATGACACTGAAGTCAGGGAAGAAAGATGACTTGTCCAAGATCACCAATGGAGGAAACCTTCAGGAATCCAATCTTAGAGTTTCAGGAAAAAAAATATTTTAACATGGTAGCCCATGAAACTTGAAATTTTAGACTCTTGTGCTATTTGGAATTGAAGTCAGTAGGGTTATAAGCAGGGAGTTTCTTGAGCTCATTTCCCTACGTGCAAATCCAAGTTCCTCCCCTGGGCAACTGTGTGACTTTAGTCAAATTACTCAACCTCTCTGTGCTCAGTCATAAAATCAGTGTTGGCATATTATAAATGTTTAATGAGTGTGAGCTATTACTGTTACCGTCTGATATCAACAGGGAGATGCCTTCAGAAATGCAGACACTTTTCTTAAATAACATACATCATCCATCAGAAGTCATTCCTTTTCTTATTGATAGTTTTTTTAAAGATTTATTTTATTTATTTATGTATACAAGATCTGGGGTCTAGGCCAGAGGTGCGGGGGATGAGAGGAGTCACCAGAGACAGAGTGGGTGAGGGTCCCACATGGCGCGGCAGACCTCTCCTGTCTCGCCCACTGCTCCCCTCAGCAGTGTATTTCATCAGTCTGCCTGTTCTTTTCCCCACTCTGTCTGGTGAATCCTCTCACCCTCCCGCGCATCTGGCCTGTACCTCAGTTCTTGTATAAATAAATAAATAAATCTTTAAAAAAAATAAAAGAAAACAGGAAGCACTAAATCATGGCAATTCCTAGCTGCCACCATTGTTTGTATCTGATCATCACTCATAGTGTTTGATCCATGAGCTTGTGCAAAGAGCCAGAGCATCTATGTTGAGTGAGCACTGAGATGCTGGCCAGGACAAGCACTTGGACCTAACCCTGGAATCTGACCACCTCGCCCACCCTTCTCCCTGACACTCTGTGCTCTGTTTCCACTGAGCAGGGATTTGTGTGGCTGATCCCTACGAGGTCAAGGTGATGCAAGATTTCTTCATTGACCTTCGTCTGCCCTACTCTGTCGTGCGCAACGAGCAGGTGGAAATCCGAGCCGTCCTTTACAACTACCGAGAGCAGGAATCCCTCAAGGTGGGTCTCTGGGGCAGCAGTGGGGGCTTTGGAGAGAAATGGGGGTCGATGGCGCACACCTCTGACTTGATTCTCTCTCTCCCTGGCAGGTGAGGGTGGAGCTGCTCTACAACCCAGCCTTCTGCAGCCTGGCCACCGCCAAAAAGCGCCACCAGCAGACCCTGGTCATCCCGCCCAAGTCCTCCGTGCCTGTGCCTTATGTCATCGTGCCCCTGGAGATCGGCCTACAGGAGGTGGAGGTCAAGGCCGCCGTCTACAACCACTTCATTAGTGACGGTGTCAAAAAGACCCTGAAGGTCGTGGTGAGTCTTTGGGGACACCTGCTGTCCCTTGTCTTTCGGGAACAACTTCTGCCCTCCTCGTGATGTCAAGCCAGCTGCAGTCCCAGGCTCTGAAGCACTAAGAATAGTGTCCACCTTCAGAAATATAGGAGTTCTAGACAGTCAGAGGCAGGACTAGGATTAGAGTGAGGCAAGTGAGACTCTCTCCTCAGGTACGGGATCTTACAGGGCCCCAAAAGCTCAATAATAAAGATCAATGATGCATTTTTTCATTAAAACATATTTTAATATCAAATATGCTTTGTAATGTATTTCAGTATAGAAGGTTTTAACGTTAAAGATCTTGCGAAAACATATACTGCTAGTCTGTACCCCTTTGGGCTATGATGTGCCACTTGGGTGGGGGCTAAGGATGTATCTTGTGTCTGTTCCTGTCAGTGTACTGGCTTTTTTTTTTAAGATTTATTTTATTTATTTATGCATACAAGAGCTGGGGTGCAGGCCATAGGTGCGTGGAGAGGCAGGAGGGAGGTGAGAAGATTCACCAGAAACAGAGTGCAGAGCAGAACAGGCAGATTGACTGAAATACACTGCTGAGAGGAGCAGCAGGCAAGTCAGGAGAAGTCTGCTATGCCATGTGGGTTAGCTCCCTGGCTGGCTGGGGATCGAACTTGTGCTGCAGTAGCTGGCGACAGCTTCATAGTGCTAAGACTTAACCCCTTGAGCCTCCAGGGAAGTCCTGTATTGGTTTTTTCCTCCCAATCAATGATCTTAACTAAATTACTTTCAAAGAGAGCCTGAAGCAAAAGGAAGAATGAGTGCCCCCATATATTTATCTGTGTGTATTTTATTAATGGTTGAAATAGTTTTATGGTTAATTTCCCCCAAAATGTCAAAGTAGTTGAAAAAATATTGAAACCCTGAACAACAAACATATTAAAACAGACAGCATTATTTTTATATTGAAATGTTCTGTTTATATCCAAACCAGAATTTATTATAGCTTTTCTTTCCTAGTTTTAACAAATTCAGGTTCATATTTTTTCAAGTGGTTTAATGTTATGAAATAAAACTACCCATTAATATTTGTATATATTTAGGGGCACACATTTTTGCTTTTGATTTGGGCCCATGGACTGCCAGGTTCAAACCCCAGTTCTGTTTTACTAGCGGTGTGACCTTGAGCAAGTTACTTCACCAATCTGTACCCCAGTTTCCCCATCTTTAAAATGGGGTGATGGGCCTCCCCCGTGGCGCAGTGGTTGAGCACTGGGCTGCGAAGCTGCCCACAGCCTCTGCAGCGCCGGTTCGATCCCCGGCCGCCGGCAAGGGTCCCACATGGTGTGCAGACCTCTCCTGCCACGCCCACTGCTCCCCTCAGCAGTGTACTTCATCAGTCTGCCTGTTCTGCTCCCCACTGTCTATGTTGAATTCTCACCCTCCCACGCCTCTGACTGTACCCAGTGCTTGTATAAATAAATAAATAAATCTTTAAAAAAATAAAATAAAATGGGGTGATAGTAGCAATACTCACCTCATTGAATGTTGTGTTACATGAGTAACCCAAGTAAAGACTGCTTCTAAGCAGATAGGGAGATTTTGAAAGGTTTTGTTTTGTTAAGTTATAATCTTGTCATTAATTCCAAGAACAACAACATGAACTAGGTGTTTGCAATAGATTCCTCCTTGTAAAGGAGGAAGCTGAGGCCCTGAGAGGTTAAGTGCCTGGCCTGGTCACACAGCTAGGACAGGCAGGTGCCATCATGCCTGTCCTACAATAATCCCCAAAACAAAAGTGCCCTTATGACCATTGCCCATGTGTCTGTCTGTCCTTTTATTCACCGGACCTCCTGTACCCCTACACCACCCAGCCGGAAGGAATCAGAGTCAACAAAACTGTGATCGTTCGCACCCTGAATCCAGAAGTCCTGGGCCAAAGTGAGTTTGCACAGGACAGGGGTGGGGCCTGGGTGGTGATGCGGGTTTGGGGGAGCTGGCCCCATGGGTGTCTCCCATTTGGTCCTCAGACGGTGTACAGCGAGAAGAAATCCACGCGGCCAACATCAGCGACCAGGTGCCTGACACGGAGTTGGAGACCAGGATCCTTCTGCAAGGTGAGATGCACTTGACCTTGACCCCTATGGGGCCAGGAGTCTGGAGTCACGAGAAGGGAACCCAATTCCATCTAAGTCCCAGGGCATTTCATCACCATGCCTCCAGGTCAGCTTTATAGAAGGTTCCAGTGCAATCAGTGCAATCATCTCCCCTTTCCCATAGTCTCATTTTCCAAGGTTTTAGTTACTCATCATCAACCGCACTGGGGAAAATGTACAGTAAGATATTTTGAGAGCAAGAGAGACCACTTCCATGTAAATTTTATTCTATAATATATTGTCATAACTGTCTTACAGTTATTCATTATTGTTCATCTCTTCTTATTCCTAATTTTAGAAATTTAACTTTATCATAGGTTTGTATGTACAGGGGGACAAAACCAGCATATATAGGATTGGATGTTATCGGCAGTTCCAGGCATCCACTGCGGGTTTTAAAACGCATCCACGGTAGATAAGGAGGAACTGCTGTCTTTAGTTTGGCAAATAGCTTTTGCTGATGAAGATGTTTCAGTCAGAAGCAGATATACTGGAATTGCCTGGGATGGAGGGCTGGGAAAGAAGGGGCCAAAAGGGGCTGGAAAAGCACCTCGAGTTATAAGGTTGTGGGGGAGCAACCTTGAGTGATAAGGTTGGGGGGGGCAGCAATCCTTTGGCTCCTCACCTGTGGTGGGAGTGAGTAGTAATGTATAACAGGGCGGCAGGAAGGTTCCATGAGATACTGTGGAGTATTACTTAGATCAGCTCCTGGTAAGCAGCATCAGCACAACAGGAGCCTTCATGACTCTTGGTACTGGAACTACTTTTACCACTGGTGTAAAAAGACCACCCTGTGATGGGAGTTGAAACACAAGACCCCCTTCCATCTACCCTCCCCGATGCAGATCCCCCTCCTGCCTCTTAAGAGAGCAGCTCTCCCTTCCATTGCACCCCAGCCCCCTGCTATCCTTGACTCCTTCGTCCTGGCTGGTTGGAGCTGGGAGCACGAGGAGCCAGAAGGTCCTCGCCCAGCAAGGGCGAGGAGGGTGAGGAGCCCGTTGCTTGAGCTCTGTCCTCCTGCTGGGCTGTAGGGACCCCGGTTGCCCTGATGGCAGAGGAAGCCATAGATGGGGAGCGACTGAAGCACCTCATCATGACCCCCTCTGGCTGCGGGGAGCAGAACATGATTGGCATGACGCCCACGGTCATCGCCGTGCACTACCTGGACAGCACCGACCAGTGGGAGAAGTTCGGCCTGGAGAAGCGGCAGGAGGCCCTGGAACTCATCAGGAAGGGTGCGCCCCAGCCGCTCTTGAGACACCCTGAAAACCCCCTCTACCCGCCCCTCTGAGGCCCCTCTCAGAGCTTGTCCTCCCTGAGACCCCTCCCCTTTCCGAGGTCCTGCCCCTCCGCTGAGACCCAGGATTGCGGGAGCCCCCAGTCTCTCCTTCCTTTAGGCAGCCCCCCTCCCTGCCCCTGCGTTGAGCCCCCTCTTTCCTCTCCCTGCCCCTCATAGACACCACATCCCCTCCCTAAATCCCTCCTCCCTGGTGTACCCACACCCTCCACGCAGCCCAACCCCCACTCCCGCCCCTGCTCCCTGTAGTGACACTTCCCACTCCCACACAGGGTACACTCAGGAGCTGGCCTTCAAGCAACCTAACTGGGCCTACGCGGCCTTCAAGGACCGACCGCCCAGTACCTGGTGAGTCTCCACAGTCCGCTTCCTCACCCTTGGCTCCCCATTCCCCTGAGCAGGGCCTGCATGGCGGCCTGGGGGGCTTCTAAGAAGGCCTCACCCACCCTGTATGACTGGCCCCCTGGGCCCAGAGTCAGAGGGCACCCCGCGGAGACAGTCTGGACAACCCCTGTGCGGTCCAGGGTCCCGAGCCCCAGGAAGGGAGACCGGCTCGCCCCGCTCTGCATTTTGGTTGACTGGGAGGGCAGTTTCTGGATCCCAGGGCCAGCTGCCTGACACCCCGTGCTACCTCCAGGCTGACAGCCTACGTGGTCAAGGTCTTCTCTCTCGCCGCCAACCTCATCGCCATCGACTCCCAGGTCCTCTGCGAGGCTGTCAAATGGCTGATCCTGGAGAAGCAGAAGCCAGATGGAATTTTCCAGGAGGATGGGCCTGTGATACATCAAGAAATGACTGTAAGAGGCCAGGCTGGGAGAGTGCGGTCCTTGCATGTTCCAGCTGGGGAGTCGCTGCTTTAGCTCACCTTTCAGGCTTCTGCCCACGCAGCCTCCCCTGTCTCCCCACCTCCCATCTGGGCGGTGAGGGACCTGGCTCTCTTCTCCAAGGGCCTTTGCATATTCTGTTCCCGCTACCTGGCATGCTCAGCCTTGACTTCTACTCACTCTTCAGATCGTCACTCCATCTGTCATCCCTCAGCGATCTCTTTCCTGACCTCGCCAACCAGGGCACACTCCCACTGTCCATTGTCACTGCTGTGTCCTCTTGCACAACTCTCGTCAGTTTGTATTGAGAATGATGTATCTTGTGGGTGGGTTGGTTCATGTCTTTCTCCCCCGCTAGATAGGGAGCACCATGGAGGCTGGGGTGGGTGGCTGGTTTTCATTTAGCATCTTATCCACAGCACCAACAACATTACAAAATGAATGAATGGATACTGAAGAGTTTGTCCCTCCTGGGGAGACACTGGGAAGAGACCAGCCCTGCCCTGACCCATGATCCTACAGGTGGCTTGGTGGGCATGTAGGAACTCACTGGTCACCCTGTCTTTGCTTCTTGCTTCCCGCCCTAGGGTGGCTTCCGGGATGACAAGGAGAAAGACATGGCCCTCACCTCCTTCGTTCTCATAGCGCTGCTGGAGGCTAGAGATATTTGCGAGGCACAGGTCAACGTAAGTGTCTCCTGTCCTCTCTCTCCCTCCTCTCTCTGGGACACATTCATTTGGAGGGCGAGATGTCGTCTTTGGTCAATTTCCGGTCCTCCCCAGTTACAGTGGCTGCGCGGTTCATGATAATGCCTAACACTTGTCGGGCAATTAAGACTCTCCTCTAAAAGCTTCCAATGCTGAAGTCTTATAATCCTTGTAATAGCCCACGTGGTTGTTTACTCTTATTGTACCCAGTTTACAGAAGAGAAAACTGAGGCATAAAGAGATTGAAGAATGCGTCTTTTTACCTGCTTTACCATTTTCAGAGTTTTAGCCAGTTGCATATCTTCATACCTTCCGCTGTTTTCCACATCATTCGTACATCATCAGTGCGTTTGTATCCTCGATGCTTCAAGAGAAAACAGAGGCACAGAGCCTGAAAAAAAAAAAATCAAGACTATTTTCTTAGACTTAGATTTAGACTTAGTCTGGGGGATATTTCAGGAGATTTTCAAAGGGGTTCATGATCACAAAAGGAAAATGATTTAAAATATTGACTCATCGTCATCCCTTTTTTCTCTGGTTTGGGTTTTGCCGCAGAGAAGCTTAGGAAAACAGGTTCTGAGAGTCTGTGATCACATCAGCATCTCTGGAGTTTTGATAATGGACTGTTGACCTTTAGCTCCCCAAATGGGAAACCCCAGGGCCTACCTGGAGCTAGCTGGAGGGTAGAGAACCAGTGATAACAGAAACATCAGCAAGGCTCTTAGCTTTCATGCCCAAGAGAGACCAGGGCTTTTCTGGTTCAAATCTTGTCAAGTTCTGAGAAATAAAGGTAGAAAAGAGGCAGTGCTAGGACGCTAGGGTCAAACAGCTCTGACTTCAAATTCTGACTCTCAGGCACGTGCCCTCCCCAGGCCTTAGTGTGCATGCCTATAAAATGGGTATAATACTCTTTGTATTTTTAAAGGTTCTCTGAACTGGCCTAGATGTAACACACATGTGACCTAGATTATGCAAAAATAGGGGATTTATTTTAAGGATCCAAGAATTTATCAGGTGCATAGAAGTAAAGTGGCCTCAGGGACTCTGCCATGATGCTTTGTTCCTCCCTCCTGTGTCCTTCATTCCCTCGTGCCTAATAACTCCCTCCACCAGTCCACCTGGCTGAACATGGCTGCCTTCCTTCAGGAGATAGCCAAACCAAGGCCAGAGCTTTCAGATTCCAGGGAAGGATTCTGATGAGCTCAGCCTGGGTCAGGTGATCAACCCTGGACCAATCAGCTGAGTCCAGGACGTAGTGAGCAAATATAGCTACTTCCACTGTGGCGGTATAAATGGGAAGGAGAAAGTTTCTACAAAAGTCAAGGGCAGATGGAGAGAGCTGGACAGGGTAAAGGGTTTGTTTCTATTACAGCAAAGCAACCTTACAACAATGTCACATAAGCTATGGAACAGACTGTTGGAGTTCAGATCAGAGTGGGTAGGAACCAGCTTGTTAAAACCACTTGTTAAATTTCCAGGAATTTTGCAAGTGGGTTATTAAACACATCATGATTTAAAATTAAGTTTTATAAACATAGAGTTAAAGAAATTAAACTTTAAATGTTAAGCATTAAGGGCAAAGGGAGTAAATATTTAAGACTTATCTCTTCACAAGTATTATATATTATTACCTATGCTCTTGAGTTGATTTACGCTTGGTGTTCGTGTGTAGAGGAAATGCTGGATAATACTGTATTACTGCCCATCTCTTGCCACCTCTACATTCACCTATGCCACATTGGTAGGTTGAAGTCAGCATGGGAGTATTTACACCATGGAAATCAGCAAACACTGCAAATCATGTCTTTGTCCCTCATCTCTGTGGGTCTAGGTATTCTCATGCATGCGGTTAAGGATGATGACAGAAATACTCATATAGGATTTTATGAAGTTAAATGAATGGATATATGATGGGTACATAGTAAGTGTTAGCTATGGTGATGACGGTGATGAGGATGGTGATGAGGATTGAATAAGGGGCATTGCCAGTGCTGTTCTGAACTTGGAGGACACTAGCTCATGCTTGCCAATTTGGGGTATCTCTTTCCCACTCTACGTTCAGAGAAGTCACATTGGTAGCTTTAAATTGGCAATGATGGGAGTATTGACTCCTATAAACCACCACCAGCCCACTGGAGAGCTGTCAAACATTTATCAGCACACCCCTGGGTACATAGACTACCCCAGGCACATAGTAGATACTCAGCCCCAAAGCAGTTCAGAGTGGATGAAATGTCTGGGAAGCCCTCACAAATAAATAGATTCTAGATAGATAGGTCCCAAGGACAGAACAGCCCAACAACCCAGGAAGTGGTAGATACCATTGTCCATGGCAGTAATGCCCACCTGACCAGACTACCTCATCTCTTCCTCATAGAGCCTACCAGACAGCATTGACAAGGCAGGAGAATTCCTTGAAGCCAACTACTTGAAACTGCAGAGAGCATATACTGTGGCCATTGCTGGCTATGCCCTGGCCCAGATGGGCAAACTGGAAGATGTCCTCCTCGACAAATTTCTGACCACAGCCACAGGTGAGGTGCAGCCAGGTGGGGTAAAGAGGGCTGCATGGCTCGGGGCTGAGGGTGGCCATCCTGAGCTGGGCTGCCTGACTCTTAAGTTGCACTGGGATGGACAGCTCTGATGGGATAGATTGCCCTAAAGTGTGAAAAGTCCTCACTGTAAGTCACACAAGAAAGTCCATTGCATGATTCATTCAACAAGTGTGTGTGGAGCACCCGCTGTGATACAAGCAGTGAAGAACATGGACTCTGGCATCCTACAGACCTAAATCTAAGTCCCACTCTGCCACATTCTCACTGTATGACCTTGTACAAATCACTTTACCTCTCTGGACCTTAGTTTCCTCATCTTAAAATGATGCCTATACCATAGGGTGGTTGTGGAGGGTCTTGCATGCCAAGACAACTGAAGTCTAACATGAGTCTTGATCTGAGTTTTCTCTGGAGTCTCCAAGCTGGACAGAGGAGTGAGCATCATGGGTCGGGGGGCTCTCTCTGCAGACAAGAACCGCTGGGAGGAACCTGGCCAGAAGCTCTACAGTGTGGAAGCTACATCATATGCCCTCTTAGCCTTGCTGCTGCTCAAAGATTTTGACTTTGTGCCTCCTGTTGTGCGCTGGCTCAATGAGCAGAGATACTACGGAGGTGGCTATGGCTCTACCCAGGCAAGTGGCCCCACATCCCCCAAGCACCTGCATCCCTTCCTCCTTTGGTCTCCCAGTAGGCTCCCAGAGAAGACACCGAGACCAAGAGAGGCCTTTCTTCCCATCAGCCAAAGTGATTGAAGTGGAGTTGAAAAAATGAAGGATTTTTTTCATTGTTACAAACCCATTGATGGATTCTAGACTACATTCTGGGAGCCCCAACCTGTGTTCTGAGCCTCCTTTTCCCTCATGGTATCTAGACCAAATTCTTGGGGTTCAAGTTCAGGTGTGAGCCTCTCTCTCTCATGGGTTCTAAACCATGTTCTCAGTTCCACCAGACTCTCCATCTCACTAATGGGCTCTAGATCACGTTCTCAATGACTCTAAAACATTATCAGAGCTCCTTTCTCTCCCTGGTGGGTTTTAGGTCATATTCTCTGTTCCACCAGGCTCTCAGTGTTACCTTATATCCTTGGTGGGTTCTAAGCCATGTTCTCCATTCCATCAGGCTCCCCATCTTATCCTGTTTCACTGGTGAGTTCCAGACTGGGTTCTCAATTATACTAGAGCATTATCCAAACCTCACTCTCCCCTTGGTGGGTTGTAGACCATAGTTTTCAGTAACTTCAAGCTCCAAAAATCTCAGGCTCCAGTTTGACCCCCTCTCTTTTTGGTGTGCTCTCAATCACATCCTTGGTGCCACTTTTGGATTCTAGATTATATGCTCAGTGTCCTCGGGATCCAACTTTATTCTTTTTTCATAAGTGGGTTCTAGACACATTCTGAGTGTTCTAAGCCCTATTCTAAGATTCTTCTGGGTGGGCCTGAACCACTCTCAGTATTGCTAGACCTTAAGTTTTATGCCTACACTTTCTGGTTGATTCTAGATATGTTCTTAATGTCTCCAAATTCTGGTCTAAACCTTTGTCCCTAGGAGAATTCCAGAACATGTCCTCCATGTCTAGGTTGTTAGACTGCCACTTTTACCCTTATGTTCTCTGGTGGGCTCTTGCTTACCAAGCCCTGGTTTGAGTCTCTCTCACTCAGACAACTCTAGAATATGTCCTGAGTATCTCCAACCCTCAATCTTATCCTCCCTCTCTGGTGGTTCTAGGCCAGAGTATCAGTGTCCCAGTGGGTTCTAACCACTTCTCGGTCTCCAGCTCACCCTCTCTTGTGGGTTCTAGGCCACCTTCATGGTGTTCCAAGCCTTGGCCCAATACCAGAAGGAAATCCCTGACCATGAGGACCTGAACTTGGATGTGTCCATTCACCTGCCCAGCCGCAACTCCCCGGTCCAGCACCGCATCCACTGGGAATCTGCCAGCCTTCTCCGATCAGAAGAGGTACAGCTGGCAGCCTGCCTCCCTGTAACCCTCCACACCAGTCAGCGCTTGTTGGGAGGCAGGAGGGTGCGCAGAGAACCACTACAGCCAGGGGAGGTTGGTTCACAGCACCCTACCTTTGCTTCCTCCTTCCCTCTAGACCAAGGAAAACGAGAATTTCACATTAACAGCTACAGGGAAAGGACAAGGCACCTTGTCGGTAAGAAACAGGAACCTATACCGCCTGGCCTACCACCTCCTCTTGGTGGTTCTGCCAAAGAGGGGCCCTCCTGTTCCTGAGTCTAGTGAGGTGACTTCTTGTTGTCCCCCCTCTCATCTTGCCAGGTGGTGACAATGTACCACGCCAAGACCAACGGCCAAGTCACCTGCAAGAAGTTTGACCTCAGGGTTAACATACGACCAGCTCTTGACCAAGGTAAGAGGAATGAAGACCCTACCTGTGTCTTCCTCCAACCCCATTCTATTGCTTGCCTTCCTCCTGAATTGGGGTCCAGGCCCTCCTTGTCATCTCTCTGTCTTCTGTGTTTCTAGTCAAGAGACCTCAGGATGCCAAGAGCACCATGTTCCTTGAAATCTGTACCAGGTAAGAGATGGGCCAATTGGGTTCATCTTGGCCATTCCCCTGTCTCTAGCAAACCTCTTCAAGAAAGTTGTTCCCTGGCCTTTAAAATTTTTTTATCACATTGAAAGCTCTCAAAATTATAAAATGAAAAGTACAGTCAGGCGAGTATGTTTACTACACTGTAATTTAAAACATTAGAACATTGAGATTAATGTTGAGGTTTTTTCCTTTCTAAGACACTTACCAAAGCACTGTCATTTGGATACTGCCTCCTTTCTTCTCTCTGTGTAATTTGCAATATAGAGCAAGCATCTTGTCTATGACACAGTGGATTGCCACATCCTAAGCTTGGGTCAACACCCAACATTGAATTCATTGAACTGTCAATGTCATGAGACATCCTTACCTATGAAGAATTCCTTACCTATGAAGTTTTTTGCCTTTGTCACATCTGCTGCGATAGCTTCATCTTTCTGTCACAACCCTTTTTCTCATGTATGTTAATGAACTTGCCTTCATTTACCACTGGCCAAATAACTAGTCTCTCAAATGGCAGCCGAGTCAACATTTCCATGGCCTGCTTTTTCTTCAGAAGTTCCACTGATGGTCTGTTCAGATTTTACTCCCAGCCTTGTCATTCTCCACTTCTTTGTTGCACTTTCCTCTTTGTCAGCCAGGTCTCTCTTTGAGTTCTCCTGTTAATACTTGTTACTCGGAAATAAGGACGCAACATGACTACATACTTTGCTGTCTTTGCATGTACTGCATGATGCAACCTTGGGAAAACGGACATGATCAGCCATTGGTTGTCATGCACACCTGTCACTTATGTAGTGGTTGGTGGATGGAAGAGTTAGCAACAAAATTTGAACTTTATGCAATTGCACATGATTATTATACCGTGGTACTGAAATTTGAACTGTGTTGCTGGGAGACTGTTGTTATTGAACAAGACCATGTAACAGAATCACACAAAGGAAGGCCTGCCTGTGTTCCCTTCATTTTCCAGAAGGATGGAGCCCTAGAGCGGTTCAGTGGCTCATCAGATGTCACATAGAGCTCGAATCTGAACCCATGCAGTCGGAATCCAGACAGAGCCTGTGCAATTAGTTACCTTGACCATTACCTTTATTCCCCTTAGGGGAGTGTTTCCTAAAATCTAACATTCCTAAATGCTACTGGGTGGAAATCAGAAGCCTCAGCCCCAATAAAACCCTCAGGGCTTACCTCACCATAAGACCCAACTCCTTTCTCCTTGCTCTATCCAGGTACTTGGGAACACAGGATGCCACTATGTCCATCCTGGATATATCCATGATGACTGGTTTCTCTCCTGACGTTGATGACCTCCAGTTGGTAGGAAGGTCTTGGGTTTAGGGGCTCAAATTAATGGGAATGATCCTGGGATTTGGAAGAAACTAGGGGGAGAGAAGGGGATCCAGAAGGGATTTTTCACAGCATTGCCCTTCCTCAGCTGAGCAATGGCGTCGACAGATACATCTCTAAGTTTGAGCTGAGCAATGCCTTGTCCAACAAGAACACCCTCATCATCTACCTAGACAAGGTAAGGCTTCCATTGGGATCTTGACCCATGCCTGGCTACCCCTCCCTCTCCACCGACCTTTGTTTCCAGATAGGGTCAGCCTCAGACCAGGGAAAACAAGATCTGTGCTGCTGGGCACTGGAGCAAAGGGCATGTGACACAAGGTGGTCAACCCACCTTCTCTAAATACTAATATTCCAAGCTCATTTTTCACTTGCTTCCTCTAAATCCTCTCATAAGAGTCTTAAAACAAAGAGTCACTTTGGCTTTAAAAAGAAAAAGAAAAAGGGCCTCCCTGGTGGTGCAGGAGTTAAAGACACAGCTCTATCAAGCTATCAGCAGCCACTGCAGCATGAGTTCCATCCCCTGCCAGGGAGCTACCCACATGGCGCAGCAGTGCATTCCTGTCTCACCTGCTGCTCTCCTCAGCAGTGTATTTCAGTGGATCCACCTCTTCTGCTCCCTGCTCTGTCTCTGGTGAACGCTCTCACCCTCCTGCACATCTGGCCTGTACCCTAGCTCTTGTATAAATAAATAAATTTTTAAAAAAGAATATACAATGTCAGATTTGATATATGTATAAATTGGGAAATGATCACCACAATAAGGTAGTCAATGTATCTGTCCCCTCAAATAGTCATAACATGTGTGGGGGAGGTGTGACATGAGAACTTTGAAGATCTACCTTCTTAGCAACTTTCAAACACACAATGCGGTATTATTAACCATGGGATGTTTTTATGGGCCTAGACACCAATCCATTGGCTAGAACTCAGTCCCTTGGCCACACCTAACTTAAAGGTGCTAAAAAATGCCATCAGGTATGAGCCTTGGAAAAATAGAAAATGAATTTTTTGGACTGTTTGTTAGTATTTTGGCAAAGATTGCTGCCCCCCATCCTTGCACCTCCTTCCTGGTCCCTCAATTTCTCCACCATTGCCCCAATCCCTGCACCCTATTCTGGACCCCCTCCCAGGTTGCCACACTGACCACCCTTAATTCCTCCCAGATCTCGCACAACGAGGAAGACTGTCTGACCTTCAGAGTTCACCAGTACTTCAACGTGGGGCTTATCCAGCCTGGAGCAGTGAAGGTGTACTCCTATTACAATTTGGGTGAGCAGCAACTGGGAGATCTGTGAATCGAGGGTCTGGGGGATCCCAGGGATCTGTGAGTTAGGAGTCTGGGTGGCTCCAGTGAGTTGGCAGCCTGGGGCGTCTGAGGGGTCTGTGATTGAGGACCTGTAACTGGGAATCTCTGGGAGAAAGTCCTCAGCCCTCTGACCATCTGCTCCTGGTCCTACAGATGAGACGTGCACTAAGTTTTACCACCCAGAGAAGGACAACGGCATGCTGAGCAAGCTCTGCCACAAGGAGATGTGCCGCTGTGCTGAGGGTGGGTGCCCAGGAGTCAGGAAGGGCGCCCAAGCCCACGGGGTCCCCCGCCCCCCATGGGGCTGACCCAGCAGGTCCTGAAAGCCACATCCAGTGGACACCAAGGAGGATGGGCTAGTGGCCGGCCATCCCCATGGGTGGGGAGCCCTGCTGGAGAAGTAGGGCTTAGACTGAGCCCCGCCCCCGCCCCACAGAGAACTGCTTCATGCGCCCTGACAGCATGGCCTCCCTGGATTACCGGTTGGACAAGGCCTGTGAGCCAGGAGTGGACTATGGTGAGTGAGGGGCCAGGGCACATGCACGTCTGTGAGCAGTTGTGTGCCGGGAAGGGCTGTACGTGTGCCTGGCTATGTGCAGCTACAGCTGTGTGATTGTGCTTCAGGCTGAGGTTGTGGGTGTGCACATGCGTGTATGTGCATGTGTGCGTGCATGCCTGTGCACATGCTGTTGGGGTCACGATTACATAGGGAGCCGTGACTCTGTCGGCTTGGATATGCGTGGATTCAAGAGCGGGTGGTGTGGGTGGATGTGGCTGTGTGGTTGTGTGCGTGTGGCTGTGAGCCTGAGGTGATGGGGAGCATGCTTGTGTGAGACAGCGGTGCGGGTGCCAGGGATGTGTGTGTTGAGTCTGGGGCTGTAGGGGTGGATGGCTGCGTGCGTGTGCGCGGCTGGGTGTGATACAGGGGTCTTGGGTGACCATGGACAGAGCAGCTGTCGTGACTGCAGTCGTGTGCGAGACCATGATGTGCCGGGTACACAGTCATGTGGAGCTCGGTGTGTGTGCAGAGGGGCGGGACACAGCTTGCCCCGAGGCTCCTGCACACATCTGCCTGTGGGGAGCCTCGTGCCCAGAGTGTGCGCCAAGGGTGCTCCCGTGCCCCGCCCTGCCCGTGACTCACGCCGACCCCCACCCTCCAGTGTACAAGACCAGGCTGCTGAAGATGGAACCTTCCGACAACTTCGATGATTACATAATGGTCATCGAGCAGCTCATCAAGTCAGGTCAGCCCCACCCTGTCTCCTGCCGGCCGCTTCCCCTCCTCCCACCGCCCCGCCCTGCTGAGCTTCCTGCTCTCCCCTCCAGGCTCTGACGAGGTCCAGGTCGGGCAGCAGCGCCGGTTCATCAGCCACATCAAGTGCAGAGAGGCCCTGAAGCTGCAGGAGGGGAAGCAGTACCTCGTGTGGGGCATCTCCTCTGACCTGTGGGGCGAGAAACCCAAGTAAGTGCAGGCCGGGGCGTCCTGGGGATCACCTCTCCCCCCCCTTCCAGGCCTGTCCAGACCCCTCCAGGCCGCTTCTGCCCCTTCCAAACCCCCACTCTGCGCCCTCCTGACCTGCCGCCCTGCCTCCCAGCATCAAATACATTGTGGGGAAGGACACGTGGGTGGAGCTGTGGCCTGAGGCCGACGAATGCCAAGACGAGGAGAATGAGGAACGGTGCAGGGACCTGGCCAGCTTCAGCGAGACCATGGTCGTCTTCGGCTGCCCCAACTGACCCCCATCACATCCCCATTAATAAAGCTGGTTGCATTTCACGTGTCTCCCGAAGTCTGGAGGTCTTTGAGAGAGGGAGAGGAGCTGTGACCCCCAGCTGCCGCACCTCAGCCCAGCCCGGAAATCTCACCCCATGCCCTCCTCTGGGAGCTCACCTGCAAGTCCACAGGCATCCGCCCCCAAAGAGCCCGTGCCCCCTCCCCCGCCCCTTGTCCGAAGGGCACACGCACCTTCCCCTGCATCTCACCCGCTCCTTCCTCACCTGAATTCTCACCTGCATCCTCAAGCCCCTCCCCGAGTCCCACCTACTTGCTCATCCGCCTCCTTACTGCATCCTCAGCTGACTTCATACCCGCGTTTTCACCTGAATCCTCATCGCTCCCCTGTGTCCTCACCTGGCCTCCCCACCTGCATCTGTATCTATAAACTCACCTGGGCCTTTACCTACATCCCCACCCATCTTCCCACCTGCGTCCTCACCTCTATTTCCTCTGCTTCCTCGTCTGTGTCTTCACCTGCATCTCTGCATTCCTCTCTGGCTCTGTATTCTTGCCCGCACCCTTACCTACATTCTCCCCTGCGCCTCCCCTGCAACTGCACCAGCATTATAACCCTTCAGTCCCCCTCTGCCTCCTCGCCTGCGCTCTTACCTGCATCCCCCCTTGTCCTCTTCTCTTCCCCTCTGTCCCTCCTCGGAGCTCGCTCTCCCCTCTCACCCCCATGTGCTCTCTGGACTCTCCCGACCATCCCAACCATCACTTTCCACATGGGCCTGACCCAGCTGGGCCGGTGCTCAGTAATGTGGGCCGCGTACCCGGGAGGGGGCGGTAAGGGGCAGGCGGGTGATATTTCCGCAGGAACCTGAGCGAGCTGCAGGGGAAGGCATGAGTCAGCAGAGAGGCGTGCATGAGTCAGCAGAGAGGCGTGCAGGGGCTCCCACTGTCACAGCATCAGCAGAGCTGCGTGGGGAGGCTGGGGGGCGGGGGCAGCCACAGCAAGGAGGGGCGCTGGCTGACAAGGAGGGCTGGGATGCCAAGCCCCTCCTCTCACTCCCTGACTGCCCAGGGTGGGATTCAGGCTCCCAGCTCTGAAGCAAGTCATCACAGGAAAAAAAAAATGACCCAATCACCCCACACAGCTCCCTTCCCCTAAGATTTCTGGACACCCCTACTGCCAAGTCCAGGAATTGGGGGGGGGGCGCAGGAAATAGATTCACAGCCCACGGCTGCTCCCCCCCAGCCCCAGATTACCAGAGACCCCTGTCAAGCGGACACTGGATATCCCAGGGCAGAGCTGCCAACCACCTCCTCTGTAAGTCCGTCTTCTCATTTCTTCTCTTGCTTATTCCCCTTTTCTCCTGCCTGAGGTTCATCGTCTTCATTTATTTAACACACGAGCTGTCACTCTGTTTGACACTTATGATTCTGTGAACAACACGGGCAGGACCATGTGAAACTGACACCCCAGGGGCAGCATGGACTTGATTTCAGACAATGAAGATGTCCAAAGGGGGCGGGGGCGGGGCTGTCAGCAAAGGTCATTGAGATGGAGGCTGCTCCTGTGTCAGCTTCGGCTACAGTGACCAGCTGTTTAGTAAACGCCAGCCCAGGCCTTGCTGTGAAGCTTCCCTTTTTAGCTGTGATTCATACCTACGGTCAGCTGACTATTAAAAGCAGATTACCCTTCTTTTTCCATCTGACTTATTTCACTGAGCATAATCCCCTCACTTATAGGAGGAATATAGGGGAACCAAACAAGGGATCGGGGAAAAAAAAAGACAAAACTAGCAGGCAAACTATAAATCAGAGCCCTTGCGCAGGGGAGTGGCAGGGAGAGGGGTCAGAAGGGGAGGCAAGAGCACAAGAGACTGTGGTGAGGGTTCCCTGGCAACTTGGTGGCAGGAATGTTATGGGGATTACGCCTGAGAGGAGAAATCAAAGTTGCACAAAAATGAACAACGACGTAAAAATATAGACATAATTTAAAAAAAAAAAAAAGAGAGAAGTCAAACAGGAAAGAAAAGCAGATTGCCCTGATAACGTGAGTGGGCCTCACTCATCCATCCAGTCAGCTGAAGGACTGAGGAGGTAGCCTGAGGTTTCCTCAGGAGGAAGGAATTGAGGATGGTAGGGTAGAAAACTTGCTCCCCAGTGGAGGCACTTGTGCTAAGCCCACTAAGACTTAAAGCCTAAACTAGCTGGTTTCAAGGCACCTGCAGTATCAGCTTCCCCCAGGAATGTAGTCTTGACTGGTTCCTATGGAATTTCAGCATCATGTCGTGGCTTTCTCCCCAGATCCCGGCCTTTAGATATGAGTCTTTATAAGTAGCTGCCAGAAATCTTCCTGCCTGTTCCAGTTGAAACCTGACAAGATATTTGAAAGGATTTTTTTTTAAATAGGTCTATGGTCAAGGACTTCCCCCAAGGTAATGGACTTCCACGTTGCAAAACCAGAAACGCAACTCTTATTCCTGTCAGATATCATAAAAGTCTGACCTTTGGAAATAATTCAATGTTTTCCTGACAAAAAAATTAAAATTCCTATGTGAGACTTAACCATCAAAATGGGAAACTTCAGACAGAGAAGAAACATAAGGGAAAGAAGGTTCTGTTTAAATCTCAGCTCTCTCAGGTACCCTTGTAAGGACAGTCTCCTCAAATAGGAAGCTGAGCCCTGTCACGAGGAAAGCTCCAGCTTTCCAACTACCAGCTGCAAAATTAAAGCCCCGCTATTTTTTTATTGTAAATTAGTGAGTCTAGGCAGCGCTTTCTGCCCACTTGTGTCTATGCAAGAAGTGTCCTATATTTTTTCTCTCCCTTTTTATAATGAATCTGCTCTTTTGGAAAAAAATAATAAACTAGTGAGTCTTGACTCATTTTTGTTGACTCACTTTAAAGTAGTTAATTTTCAATGGACAATGAAAGTCAGAAGGTCTTTGTTTACTTCTGTTTGTATGTTTGTCTGTTGTTTGTGTCTGATTAAACTTGTTAATGTATTTCTTCCCTCACAAGGTACACTAAAGTTAATTTGCAAATGAGTTTTATTGCATTCATAAGGACTTAAAAGCTCAGAAAAAATATAGAAACTAATCCAAATATTTTCCCAGTTAGCATGATCTGGGATCATTTTGGTAAATTAAAGCTAGCTTAAATTAGTTGGGTTAATTTAAAACAGAAGTATCTTTACAGATACTAGCATGAAGTTAGGTATTTTTACCTGAATTTACTAATCAAAATAAGCTCAGGTTATCTAACAAGAAAAATAGCTTCAAATAATGACTGATTTACCTAACACTTCATCATGCTTGGGTAAATAGCAGTAAATGGTTTAGATATAAATAGGGCCAAAATTTCTAGATTAACATTACAGCAACAGTTTTATTAGTCACTCAATTTTTTTGGAAATGTGAAACTTCTGGGTTTTTCTAAGTTAAAGAATGGAAATGCATAAAAAATCTAGATTATTTCCAACAAGATAAAATGCTGAATCATAAATTATGTTATCAGGCAGGGTGAGGGATAAATCTGCCTGCTCTAGATAGGTTCTGTCATCTGCTGCATCAAGACAAAATATACTCTAGTACATGAAACCTTCAGTAGAAAAGAACTTTAATACAACCAGTGTGCAATAAAGAGAAGAGAAAGAATAGAGTTTCCTAATCAAACACCCGAAGTTACCCATCCCCTCATGGGTAAATGCCCAGCCAAACAAGGTTGGCCTGAAGCAGGACCACTGAGCCCCAAAAGCTTGCCACAAGTCTAAGGCAACATCTGGCGGGGACCCAAAGGAAGGGGCAGAAGGGGCCAGGCAAGTAGGAAGGAAAAGAGCAAAACCAAAGTCCAAGTCAAGATAAAGGCTGCCGTGGTCAGCCTCCCCACGAGTCTCTCACCCACGTCTCTTTTGAAGTGTGTCCTTCCATGTCCCCCAAGTCCCTGATACAAGGTCCAAGACCAAGAAGCAAGTGTGGCTTCTTCACATGTCTCTGCTCCATGTGCTTCCTCCTTGCTCTGTCTCTCTCTGCTTCTCCTCAGCCAGGTTTCTCTCCTCTCAGTCTTTTCTAGCTTCCCCGGCCTGCCCAGTTCCATCTTCTCTAGGGTGGGGCAGGGAACCTGGAATCTCCCCTTTCCCTGGGGCTTACCCTGTTACTGATCATAAGTTTACTAGCTTTTGACTTATTACTGAGAAATTTAAGATATTAGGGTCTACTGATTTTGTGCACATTGGGAAATTTACTGTAAGGAAGAATATACTGCTAGAAAATTATTAAAATTATACTTCTAAAAAATTATAAAGAATGTCCAAAAATATTATGAGTTTGCCAATCGACACACTGTGAGTATGATAATCCACAATTGTTTATTTTATTTCACTAGAAATTAAGGTTTTAGGGTTAAGAAGTGTGATTGACATATGTAATTAAAACGAATAGAAATAATATAAAAAATATTTAAATATAAATAAATTTAGATGTGTGTCTGCAGTAAGAAAGATGTAAGGAATAGAGAGCTCTTCTGTTGAAGGAAAAGAAAGTAATTTTGTTCTGAACTAAGGCTGGTTACTTACAGGCACAGGACAATATCTGAGTTTAAAGGGGAAGTTATGGAAAGTTTGTGGAAGAAGAATTGCAGAGAAGAAATTTTATGTGTGGTCAAGCTGACAAAAATTGAAGTGAATTTTATTTTAATTTTTTTAATATTTATTTATTTATACAAGCACTGGGTACAGTCAGAAGTGCAGGAGGGTGAGGGAATTTACCAGAGCCAGAGCAGGGAGCAGAGCAGGCAGACCGACGAAATACACTGCGGAGGGGAGCAGCGGGTGGCAGGAGAGGTCTGCACACCCTGTGGGACCCTCGCCTGCGGCCGGGGATCAAACTGGTGCTGCAGAGGCCGCGGGCAGCTTCGCAGCCCAGCGCAGCGCTCAACCACTGCGCCACCAGGGAGGCCCTGAAGTGAATTTTGATATCAAAAGTACACTGTTGCAAAATTAGAATTTGGTTTTCTCTCTGCTAAGGACAGTTCCTGGATTATTATCTCTTGAT